GCTCTCACTGTGGTTCGCTGGAGTCCCAAAGCTTTAGAAATGGCTTTGTAACCTTTTCCAGACTGATAGATCTCAATTACTTTGTTTCTCATTTGTTCCTGAATTTCTTTGGATCGCAGCATGATGTCTAGCTTTTGAGGATCTTTTGGTCTACCTCACTTTGTCAGGCAGGTCCTATTTAAGTGATTTCTTGATTGAGAACAGGTGTGGCAGTAATCAGGCCTGGGTGTGGCTAGAGAAATTGAACTCAGCTTTCCAAAGATGTGATAAACCACAGTTAATTTATGTTTTAACAGGGGGGGGCAATCACTTTTTCACACAGGGCCATGTAGGTTTTGATTTTTTTTTTCCCTTAATAATAAAAACCTTCATTTAAAAACTGCATTTTGTGTTTACTTGTGTTATCTTTGTCTAATATTTAAATTTGTTTGATGATCTGAAACATTTAAGTGTGACAAACATGCAAAAAAATAAGAAATCAGGAAGGGGGCAAACACTTTTTCACACAACTGTATATATTGTGTTCAATGTGTATTTCTAATCAGAACACGGCCTATTCACTTATTTTGGCCAACACATACTCAATGCTACGAGGGATTGGACATTCAGAACAATCGCAAAACAAAACTCACAAAGTGGTGTTTTCGGTGTAACAGCCTCCTCAGACTTGAGAGATCTGCTGACGCCGAACTGGTTCTCGGCAGAAATCTTGAAGTGGTACTGCACATTCTCCTTCAGGCCCTTCACCACCAGAGAGGTCTCAGCTACCCGGGAGTCTACGGTACACCAGGCAGCCTTGGGTACCTCTCGCCTTTCCACGATGTATCCCAGAATGTCGGAGCCGCCATCATCTGACGGTGGCCTCCAGCTGACCCGGACCGATCTGGCCTGAATGTCATCAAACTCCAGAGGGCCTTCTGGGATGTCAGGGCGACCGATCACCTTCACCTGGAGTAGAGATATACAGAAAATTAAGCTCCAAATACATTTCTTTTAATTTCACTTCTGTTACTGAAGTACATTTATCTGCAAGATAAGCAGCTCACCTTGATGTATACGGCCTTCCTGCCACATTTGTTCTCCAGCACCAGGTCGTAGGTGCCGGTGTCGTCTTTGTGCGCCTCTTTGATGACCAGTTCGGTGATGTCATCATGGGTGGCGATCATGGCCCGGTGGGAGATGTCCCGACCGTCCTTGGTCCACTTGCATATAGGGATGGGTTTACCCTTGATGGGCACAGACAGATGGACGACTCCGCCCTGCCGCACCACGTAGCCCTCCGCGTATTTTTGATCGAGCTCGTAGTCGGGATGACCTGAGGAAGACACAAATTCGATTTTTGTTAGTTAAATTACAGATTAAAAGACAAAAAATATGCATATTAAATCATTTAAAACAAAGTAAAAGTGTGACAGGTATTTGACTGTAAAATGAAACTGTAATTTATGGATTTTTACCGAGCATCTCCTGGACTTTAACCACTCCAGGAATATCAGCAGGCTCTCCAGAACCACCAGCGTTGCAGGCGATGACCCTGAACTTGTACTCGGCGCCCTGGGGCATGTGGGTGAGCGTGTACTCGCACATCTTGGTGGGCGTGGTGTTGCACAGTGTCCATTCCACCTGGTCCACCTTCTGCATCTCGATGAAGTAACCAGTGATGACAGAACCACCCTCTTCTTCAGGTGGCTGCCAGGCCAGAGAGACGGAGGTCCTGGTGGTATCTGTGACGGTGGGCTGAACTGGAGGACCTGGAGGCTCTGTTCAAAAAATACCGTGACTTTAGATAAATATGCTGACTCCACACTGGTAGGATTAATTCAAAATAGGTGGTGAGGCTTTCAAGAATGAAGCCCGTTAAATGACATTACAGAAGATCAGCAATAACACGTACCGATGGGATCCATGGCAACGTTGACGGCTGAGCTCTCGCTGGGTTTGCCAGCTCCTCTGGAGTTGATGGCGGTGATACGGTATTCGTACTCCAGGCCCTCTATCAGGCCAGAAGAGCGGTACCTGGTCATGGTTACAGGGTTCTTGTTGATCTTCATCCACCTGTCAGAGTGCGCCTCCTTACGTTCGACGATGTAGCCGGCAATGGTTGAGCCACCGTTGTCCTCGGGTGGTTGCCAGGTCAGGGTCATACCCTCGTGGGTGACATCAATCACCTCTGGACAGCTTGGAGGACCAGGGATGGCTACACAGGAGAAAACAGATGGGCACAAATTAATAAAAGGGATTCACTGAACCTCTGAATTGTTGGAGCCCACAGGTAAAAGAAAGAGCACATAGAGGACAGAAAAAGTACACTTATGGTGGAAATATAACTCACTCTTAGCACTCTTGCACTCCACCACCTCAGACTGCAGGAAGCCGCCAACACCGAAGCGATTCATGGCGGCAGCGCGGAACACGTACTCTGTTCCCTCGGTAAGTCTGGTGAACTTGAAGCAGGGTCGGGTCACTGACTCTGAGATGGTGAGCCAACCTGGCCGGTGGGCGTCGCGCTGCTCCACCACGTAGCCGCTGACGTTGGAACCGCCGTCTTTCTCTGGAGGTTCCCAGCTGACCGTCACCGACACGCCGTCATTCTCCTCGATCTTCACCGGACCGACTGGGACGCCTGGTTTGTCTGGACGGACACAGGAAGACAGCATAACATTTTAATTTTACTTGATTTAGTAAAGCATCTGTATGGTTGCAACATTTCGGGTCTCAATCGGTAAAATTGTTCTTTAACAGGCACAACTTCTCAGTTGTCTCCTTACCGAGGATGATGACCTTGATGACCTCAGTTGCCATTCCAACAGCGTTCTTCACCTCAAGCGAGTAGTTTCCCGTGTCGTTGATGGTGGTCTCGCGGATGACGAGGTGGGTGTATTTTCCGTTGCTGTCGATCTTGATACGGTCCAGGCTGTCCTTCAGTTTAACGCCGCCAAAGGACCAGGAGCAGACCGGCTGCGGTCTGGCCTTGATGGGGATGTTGAAGTCGATGGGTTTGCCGCGGTGCACGTGGACGATCTTCTGAGGGATGCTGGTCATGTCGATCTTGGGCATCACTGGAATACACAGAAAGAGATGTTATATGTTTATTATATGTGAATGATTTCTGTGGAGAGTTTGTGTGATGATTTGTGGATGTGTTGTGATGTCTTTCTCACCCTTGATATCCTGGATGACGACAGGAGTGACGGTGTCCATCGTCTCGCTGGCTCCCTTGCTGTTGGTGGCTCGCACCCTGAAGAGGTACTGGTCGTTCTCGGTCAGAGACTGGATGGTGTGCTGGGACACTGAGGCCTTGACTGTTGCCACGACGCTCCACCTGTCTGTCCCCACCTTGCAGGCGTCCACGACGAAGCTCGTCAGCCTGCTGCCGCCGTCGTGCAGCGGCTTCAACCAGTGCAGTGTGACGGAGGACTTGGTGACATCCACAACCCGGAGGTCCTGAGGCACCGACGGTACCTCGCACAGCAGCACGGCCTCGGATGTCTCACAGGGCTCCCCAACACCATAGATGTTCTCGGGCAGGACTCTGAAGAAGTAGTGTACTCCCTGCTCCAGACCGGTGATCCTGAACAGGGTCTTCCTACATTCAGTGGTGATAGTCTTGTATGTCTTCATGTTGGCGTCACGCTTCTCTACAATGTAGTTACTGACGTGAGCACCGCCGTCGATGCTTGGGACGTCCCAGGTGATCACAACCGACTCCTTAGTGTAGTCCTTCACGTTCACAGAACTTGGAGGACCAGGAGTGTCTGCAGGAAGAGAAGATATTAGTGTGTTTTTACCGGAAAAACATAACTTTGCAAATGGTGCAAACTTTGTGCACCTTTTTTTGTTTTTTATACATTTTCACTGTAATATTTGGTATCTGAGGAGACTTGGGATGACTTACCGTAGACTTTAACCAGGATGGTGGCGGTCTTCTTGCCAGACGGGTTCTCCGCCTCCACAACATATTTTCCGGAGTCATAGCGGTTGATCTTCTCCACCGTCAGTGCGGTGAAGCTGTCGGTGTGTTCAATGTAGCCGCGGCTCTGCAGCTCCACACCCGTCTTCCTCCAGGCCACCACTGGTGCTGGCCGGCCGGTGACAAACACAACCAGGCGCATAGTTCCTCCGGCGCGCAGACACACCGTCTTCTTCAGGTCGTCGGCCAGCTCCAGGTCGGGCATTTCTGAGAGCGGGTGGATAATAGTAAGTTCAATAATGAGGCAAATTGCCATGTAACAAGTTGAAATATGACACTGATAAAGTGTGGGAAACCCCTGTTTGGAAAGCACAATTTGACCAAAAACATGCTAAACATGCATTGAAGTGTTGTAATACTCGGCCACTAGAGGCTGAAGTGCACCACGACCTCGTGTTCTAAATGGAACTAAGAGAAGTTATGTTTTCTTCCATGTGAGTGTTATTATATAATTATTTAATATATGTAGTATATTGTGTTAGTTTTATCTAATTTCACAGAATAAAAAAAAAGTAATAAACAGAAAATGTTTTTTCTTCCTTGCCTCTCGGGGTTCCGTACATACCTCAATATGATTCACAACTTAATAAAAAATGTTTTGATTTTTTTTTTAATCATGTAGAAATTGTGTAAAATAAAATATAGAGTGAGATTTTATAGTAAGCCTATAAACTATGTGTTGAAATGACATTTTGTCTCACTGAAGTTTACTTTCTCCAACTTCTGCAGTGATAATTGTGTCACATCTTCAGTGCTGTGTGGATTTAAGGTAATTACTGTACTATGTTTCTGACATAACTCACCGATTTTCTCCAGCGGCTCAACCTCAGCGCTGGGTTCACTGAACTCCCCGGTCCCTTTGCTGTTGATGGCAGCTACTCTGAATCTGTACTTCTTGTTGGATGCCAGGCCGGCGGCCACGTACTCGTTGGTCTTGAGGGCTTTGGCGGTGGCGCGGTACCACTGCTCGGTGCCCTCCTCCAGGATCTCCACCACGTAGTCGCTGACGTCCGAGCCGCCGTCGTACATGGGCCTGGTCCAGGTCATGCTGATGCTGTGCTTGGTCGTGTCGGTGATACGAGGCATTGATGGAGGAGCTGGGGTATCTGGGAGTAGAAGGGGATGAATACATATGTTTTTTTATCTACTTGTTCCGACATAATTCCATCAAATGGAAAAAATAGACCTTTTGCACCTGTTTTTAAAGATTGAAGACTATGAAATCTTACATGTGGGTTCTTTGCAGAGGATGTACGGTGAGGCGTCGCTCGGCTGGCTGTCTCCGGCAGCGTTGACAGCCGTCACCCTGAACTGGTACTCGCTTCCCTCCAGCAGGCCCGTGATCTTCAGACGGGTATCGTAGATGGTGTAATTCTTATTCACACGAGTCCACCTTGTCCAGAGAAGAAGCGAAAAGATACCATGAGAAAGAGAGACGCTAAGGAAATATATTCTGTCCTTTATCTTCTTCAGAAGTCGTGCCCACCTGGTGCTGCTCGTCTCTCGTTTGTCCACCAGGTAGGTTTTGATCTCGCTGCCTCCGTCGCTCTCGGGCTTCAGCCACTCGATGACGACGTGCTCCTTACCCACCGCTGTGACCTCCGGAGTGCCCGGCTGGGACGTGAAGGCTGAGGAAGATCAGGTGGGAAAGATCAGAGTCACGGGAACAAATCTACATCCTGTTACATGAGGCCTAATTCTACGATGGAACAGGACATTATTGTGTACATATCATGTGTTGTGGCATTAATACGTAAGAAAAATGTACTTTTTGTCTCCCAATAATGAAATATAATCTAAACCTTTGCTGGATATTACTGTAAATATTTCTATCTAACTGTTTTAAAACCTCTTGATCTGCAACTGCATTTAGCAATCTCAAAATTTCAAGATAAAAATATCAAATTTAACAAGAAAAAACATGTCTACTGTATGCCCCAAAATCATGAATTTCTCAGGTAGAATTGTTCAAATCTTACTGTAGGCATTCCTGGCGATGACGGGTTCGGACTCCAGAGGAACTCCGGGGCCGAACTTGTTGACTCCTCTGACTCTGAAGACGTACTCGTTGCTCTTGATCAGCCTGGAGCTGACACACGACAGCGTCTTGCACTCGGTCTCCATGATGACCCAGTTGAGTCGGCTGGTCTCGCGGCGCTCCACGATGTAATGGGTGACGAGGTCTCCACCGTCCTCCAGAGGGATCTTCCAGGACACCGTACACTTCTCCTCCGTCACTCTGCTGATGGCGATCTTATCAGTCGGAGCTCCAGGAGTGTCTGGAGAAGGAAGAAACAGTTACTCTACTAAAATGTTTTGTTAGGATTTTACAGCTGAACTCATGTCGTTTCTCCGCCGCTCACCCAGAACTTTAACGCTGACGACTGCGGTCTTGATTCCGCCGGCGTTCTTGGCGGTCAGGATGTATCTGCCCGTGTCATATCTGTCGCAGTTCTTGATGACGGCCATGGCTCTGGTAGCGGTGTAGGTCAGCGAGTATTTCTCGCCGAGCTCTAGAATCTTGTCGCCCTTCGACCAGTAGACTGTGGGCTCCGGTTTACCGCCCACGGCGCCGTCCAGGATCAGGTCTGAGCCGGCATTGACCGTGATGGTCTCACCCACCAGCTTACTGTCCAGCTCTGCTTTCGGAGGAGCTGCGGATAGAAGATTAGATTTTATATTATCAATATATATATATTTATTTTTGTACAGATGCTACAGTATAATTAATAGCAAACAATGATCTTTGTTCTTAGTCATTTTTATCAAATATTCTATTCATGGATTTTGGGGTTCAAAGGGTTAATCTATAGATTATACTTTATGTGTCCCATATGAGGAACAGAAGCCTAAATGATAAAAGCCATATCTATGTGTCAGCTCCTCCATGAGCTCTGAATCTAAACTGATAATGAATATGAACACTCTGCGACTCTTTAACTTACAGTACTCATCCTTGCATGTGACCGGTCCGGTGACCTCTGAGGGTGCACTTTGGACACCGGCTGCATTCTTGGCGATAACGCGGTACTCAAAGGTCTCTCCCTCTCCCAGGTTGGTGACGGTGAAGTAGTTCTCACTGATGGTGGTGTAGTTGCACTTGAGCCAGCGGTTGTCGTCCCACTCATCCGTGCTGTGGACCTTCCTCTCCACCACGTAACCAACGATCCTGCTGCCGCCATCGTTGAGAGGCACGGTCCAGCACAAGGACACGGAGGACCGGGTGATGTCTGTCACCTCAGGTTTACCAGGAGGATCTGAGGAGGGGGGTGGGGGGTATTTAAAAACTATAACTCAGGCTTCATTAAGGTCTGTATGAACAGATTTAACCGTTTTAACTGATTAACAGATGAATTTGCTAACCAGTTGTTAGGGCCTTCGTCCACCAAAATGTTTTGTTGATTAGTCATCGTGCTAAACAGCACGATGACTAATCACTAATCATGTCATTAGTTCACGTATTTAAGACATGAATGTTTCCCTCACCAACAGGATTGAGTGCCACCACGGGTCTGGAAGCCTCGCTGGCCTTGCTGAATCCGGAGATGTTCATGGCGTACACCCTGAACTGGTACTCCAGGCCCTCGATCAGGCTGGACACCTTGTAGTGGCACTCCAGGCAGGGCAGCTTGTTCTCCCTCACCCACAGGATCGTGTTTCTCTCCTTTTTCTCGATCCAGTAGCCCGACACCTTGCTGCCACCATCGTCATACGGCAAGTCCCATTTGATGCTGATGGCGTTGGCGGACACAGATACCACATCTGGACGAGTTGGAGGACTTGGAGCAACTGTGGAAAAGAAGTGGAAGTGAGTGACAATAGGGAATCTTATATTTGAAATACATTTGTAAATGTAATCTTTGGCATGCATTGTATATGTATTAAAACAGGACATGCATTTATATTTTGTATAACTGTTGAACAGAACTCACCGAATGGATGCTCAATCACAACAGCAGCAGATTCGGTGGACTTGCTGACTCCAAACTTGTTCTCAGCGCAGACTCTGAAGGTGTACTCCATATACTTGGTAAGGTGAGTCACTTTGATGGTGGTTCTCTTTACACTGGAGTTCACTACTTGCCAAGAGGCAGAGCCGGACTCTCGTTTTTCCACGATGTAGTTGCTGATGTCACTGCCGCCATCGTCAGCTGGCTCGGACCAGGCCAGGTTGCAGGACTCTGAGGAGACTCCAGAGATTTCCACAGGGCCCGTGGGTGGAGTTGGTCGGCCAACAACAGCTACGGTCACTGTGAACGTCTTCACACCAGCAACGTTCTCCAGGGTCAGGTAGTACTTGCCGCTGTCGCTTCTCTTGCTGTCTTTCACCACCAAAGTGGTGCTCTCCTTTGTGGTTTTGATCAAGACTCTGTCCGTCTCCTTGAGCTTCATCTCCTCCAGCTTCCAGGTGACCTTTGGTGCTGGCCTGCCGCTGATGGGGATGTCAATTGTGAAGGTGTTGGAGGTCTTGCAGGTGATGAGCTGGTTGGTGATGCTGCTGAGGTCAGCGGTTGGTTCGATGCATTGCTCTTTAATGACCACAGAGCTGAAGGTGGCCTGAGGCTCGCTGATTCCAGCGTCGTTCTTGGCCTTGACTCTGAAGTCATACTCTGTGTTGTGAATCAGACCCTCCAACAGCATCTTCTGGGATTTGGTCTCTCCACCAACAACCCAGCGGTCAGTGTCTTTAGCTCTGAATTCAATGATGTAGCCTCTGATGCGGCTGCCTCCGTCATGCTCGGGCTTCAGCCATACCAGGGAGGCTGTGGAGTTGGTGGTGTCGACAACATCCAGTCTTTTGGGTGGTGCGGGTTCCTCTGTGGCAATGATGGGCTCAGTCATTTCATGAGGTTCTCCCTGGCCATACTGGTTTACAGCAATCACCCTGAACACATATGGCAGACCAATATCCAGACCAGTTACCCTAATCATCTGGCGAGAGCACTTGGTGCTGACTTCCTGCCAGGCAAGACGGCTGGCCTCGCGCTTGTCAACAATGTAGTGATGGATTCGGGCTCCGCCGTCATTGGCAGGGGCATCCCACATAACAGTCAAGGCTCCGCGGATAACGTCTTTGAAGGCGATAGCTCCCGGAGGTCCAGGCGTGTCCAGCACTTTGACAGTGAACGTGATGGACTTGCGCCCGCTGTTGTTCTCCAGGGACAGGACGTATTTGCCCGCTTCGTACCTCGTGCAACCCTCGATGGTGAGAGTAGAGGAGGAATCTGTGGTGTTGATATCGCCCATAACAGGCAGCTCACCATCTATCTTGGACCAGGTGGCGAGAGGAGCTGGTTTGCCTCGGAAGGCAACTTGAAGGGTAACAATGCCACTATTCTTCACAATGTGAGTCTGCTTGAAGTTGGCATCGAGTTCGATCTCAGGAGATGTAAGTCTGTCCAGAGCCTGAACAGCGCTTGCCAGCACTGAGGCGTCGCCCTCTCCAGATCCGTTCACAGCACTGACCCTGAACTTGTAGAACTCTCCAGGCACCAATCCCTTAGAAGTGTATCTGGTGTCGTGGCAAAGCTGGTTGTTGACTCTGTGCCACTCCTCCAGACTGGCCTTGCACATGTCAATGTTGTAGCCAATGATTTCCAAGCCACCATCGAAGACTGGCTTGGTCCACTCCACGGTGACAGAGGACTTGGTGGAGTCAGCGACCTGTTCAAAAAGAAAAGAGTATTGTTTTAAAATACATTTTTCTTGGTAGATTTTTCCTCTACATTCTGGTTTTCGACATTAAAGTTATTTTGAGGTTTCTTCTGTACTAAAATAGAAACAAATTTGTGATTTCATAGTAATATTGATAACTCAAAATACATTTCTAATAATTGATATATATCTGACAATATATATGTATTTGGCATTTGATTATTGTGACATTGACCTCAACGCCTTTACATGAATGGCTCTTCTCTTACATTTATATGCAGTGTTCCTGCAACCCTACCTTTATTAATGTGGGGGCACTGGGAGCACTGGTTGGTTCCTTGCATTTGAAGAGCCTGGAAGTACTGCTGGACGGTCCGATTCCAGCACCATTTTCAGCCATGACGCGGAACTCGTACTCGTTGCCCTCAGTGAGGTTAAGGACACGGTGTCTTAGCTCAGTGATGGGCCTCTTGGAGGAGACCTTCACCCAGCGCAGGCTCTTCTTCTCTCTCCTCTCCAGGATGTAGTGTTTGATCTCATTACCTCCATCGGACCTTGGCCTGGTCCAGCACGTGGTGATGCTGTTTCCAGTCACATGGGTGGCATCTGGGGTACCAGGGGCATCAGGCACAGCTAAGGAGAAGAGCAGAATACATGTCAAATTTAAAGAAGTCAAGTTTTGAATGGAAAGGCAATTTGTTTCTCTTTTCGTCAACATTCAAGTGCAAGTTTGTAAGATTTGGTCAATATTTAAGACAGAAAATACCCTTGAGTGACTTTACTCACTGTATTGCATCTGGGCGATGATGGGATCAGAGTCCAGTGGTTTGCCAATGCCTAACTTGTTGGCAGCAGAGATTCTGAACTGGTATTCATTGCCCTTGATGAGGTTGGCAGCATTGTAAGAACAGGCTTCGCATTTGGAAGTGATCAAGGCCCAGGAGATCCGGGATGTCTCCCTCTTCTCCACCACGTAGTGGGTAATGGCAGCACAGCCGTCGTTTTCTGGCGGGTTCCACCACACGGTGCACTTCTCAGCCGTGATACCGGTGAAACGGATGGGACCGTCAACAGGTCCGGGGGTGTCTGAAGGGAAACAGAAGGTAGAGGAGTTACTTCTAAATTTGTTCATGAGTAGGTTTGTGTCATACAATGGCAGATATTGAAACATCAGCAGTGTTTACCAACCTTGTACTCTGACGTTGGCATCAGCTTTCCTGGCACCCGAACTGTTCTTGGCCTCTATGGTGTAGATGCCACGGTGGTTCCTGTCAGCTTCACGAACAAAAAGACTGCTGGTGCCAATGCCAGTGGTAATCTCGATGTCATACATGGTCCTCTTGTCAATCTCTTTGCCATCCTTATACCAGACAACCTGGGGGACGGGACGTCCAGTGATGGTGCAGTTGAGGGTAATGTTCTCACCAGCCTTCAGGGTGACCACCTGGTGTGGAGACCACTCGATCTCAGGAGTAACTGCAGATGCAAAGACAACGAACAAATGATGTGAGAAAACTACCATTTATGATAATTTTCCATAAATCTTTTTTTAATTTTAAAGTACTTACTGCTCTCATCCTTGGTCATAATGTATCCAGAGGAGTTAGATGGTGGACTGACTGTGCCCACAGCATTCCTGGCGATGACTCTAAACTCAAATCTGTCTCCAGCAGACAGACCAGTCACAGTGAACTGAGTCTCGCAGATATCAGTGAAATTGCATCGCAGCCATTTGCCTCTCCCTTGGCGCCTCTCCACACTGTAGCCAACAATTTTGCTGCCACCATCCTTCTTGGGGATGTCCCACTGCAGGGTGACTGAGTCTCTGGTTACATCGATGCATTGAGGGTTGCCAGGTGGATCTAATTAAGAAGAGAAAGAACCAAGTTATCCATAGTGCTGAATCCTGAAGTAATACAGAAGCAAACAGGATCTTGATAAACTTTGAAACTAATTTTAGTGTTTGCGAGCCTAAGCACGCCCTGGACCTATTTCTGTACTGGATAAACAAAGACGAAACTGATATCCATCTTCTTATCTAAATAAAGAGGATTTCCAAAAAATATTGGACTGCTTCCATAAGTAAAAAGCTATTCCTAAACACAGAAAGAGGTAGTCTTTAGCATGTACTTACCAACAGGGGCGATAGCGAGCGCATGTTTGCTCTGTTCACTAACAGGGCTCAGTCCGGCCTTGTTCTCAGCATAGACTCTGAAGGAGTACTCCAGGCCCTCTATGAGACCAATGATCCTGTACTCCTTGTTGGAGATGATGGTGGAGTTCACCTTTTGCCACAAGAGGCTGTTCCTGTCCTTCTTTTCAACATGATAGCCCAGAATGGGGGATCCTCCATCGAAGCCTGGGGCCTCCCACCTGATTGTCATACCATCACTGGTGACGTTGAAGGAAACTGGCTTTCCTGCTGGCCCTGGAGGTTTGTACTGGTGTTCGGCAACAATTTCTGAGGAGGTGAGTGATTCACTAACTCCATATTTGTTCTCTGCACGGACTCTGAACTGGTACTGAGTTCCCTTTACCAGGTTGGGAATCTTGAAGGTGGCCCTGGCAACACTGGAGCAGACCATTTTCCAGTTGGCATGAGAAGTCTCACGTTTCTCCACACTGTAGCAGGTGATCTCACCACCTCCGTCCTCCTTCGGCTTATCCCAGGAAATGATGATACTTTGAGCTTTAATTTCATCGAAGCGGATGGGTCCGACAGGCACTGATGGGGGACCCAGAGTGATCACATTAATGTCAAAGTAGTTCTTTATGACTCTGTTGTCCAGAACCAAGGTGTACTGGCCGGCATGCTCCTTCTTGACTCCTCTGACTGTGACTGCGGTCTTGTTGTCAGTAGTCCTGAAGCGAATCTTATCACATTCCTTCAGAGGCAAGTTATCCTTTAGCCAGCTGATTGCAGGTCTTGGTTTACCCTTGAAGGGCAACTCGATGTGGATGTTCTGACCAATACGAACAGCAAGCTCGCCTTTGGGATAGTCACTGAGACTGGCTTCGGGTTGAATGATGAAGTCCATCACTGTGATATCAGTAATCATGGAGAAGTCACTGTTGCCCTTCTCATTCTTGGCAAACACTCTGAAGTCCATGACAGCGTCCTGCTTGAGTCCCGTCACCTCACAGTTCAAGCGCTTGCATGTTGCTCCCAAATTCCAGGTGGCCTCTTCCCTGGTTCTCTTCTCAATGATGTATTCGGTGATGTGGCTGCCGCCATCGTGGTCAGGTCTAGCCCACTGCAGGGTAACAGAGTTCTTTGTAGAGTCCGCCATCACCAGGTTCTTTACAGCTCCAGGTGTCTCCGTGGCTCTTACAGGCTCAGTGGTTTCGCAGGTGTCGCCCACACCGTACTCATTTTCAGCAGACACACGGAAGAAGTAAGCTATGTCCTCCTCCAGGCCTGACACCTTGTAAGTTGTGTTGGCACACTCGGCATTGATCACCTGGTAAGCCTTCATGGTGGAGGCCTTTTTCTCCACAATGTAATGAGTGACAGGGGACCCGCCTTCAATGAGAGGCGCCTCCCAGCTGAGGGTCAGCTTTCCTCTCGTCACGTTCTTGACCATCAGTTTCTGGCAGGTGGCTGGACTGTCCAGAACCTTCAGGGAAACGGTGATTATCTTGGGTTCTCCCACGCCATTCTCAATCTCCAGCAGGTACTTGCCGCGGTCATCGCGGGTGACCTTGGGGATGAGGAGTGTGGTGGCTCGCTCAGTGCTGGTGATTGTGTAGCGGTTGTCAGCAGAAATGTTGCGGTCGCTGCGGCGCCATGTGACATTGGGGGTGGGGCGTCCCTTCAGGGGGATAAACACTTCCACGTCACGGCCGGCCCTGGCTGTGTAGTGGGTCTTCATCGGAACGTCCAAGTCCAAATCAGCCTCCTCTGTTGGAGTGAAATGTACAGAGCATGAATTAGTTTAATCAATATTGACATAATTATACGCCATCAGAAAATAATGTTTGCTCAATATAGCAATCAATAGCAATGATTAGAACCCATACAAATGTATAGGAAGTAGCCTTTTAATGCCTAAATTAACTTGAATCATGCTAATTACCAATACTTTTTTATCTCTGTCATAAAACGAGTATAAAAGACTCGTGTTCTGTGTCAATACCATAGAGGGATGTTAGGAATACAAACCCAAAATATCTTTGGCTTGCACAGGCTGGTACATTTTGATGTCTTCTCCTTTGCCCTTGGTGTTGACAGCAAAGACTCTGAAGAAGTAGTAGGTTCCTGGTTTGAGGTGAGATACCACATACTCGCAGGTCTTGATCGTTGAGTTAGTGATCACCCATTCTCTTTCCTCTGTGTTCATCTGCTCCAGAATGTAGTGTGTGACTTCACTGCCGCCATCATAGACGGGCTTCTCCCAGCCGAGGGTGATGGAGGTCTTTGTGGAGTCCACCACACGCAGCTTGGATGGCTCACCAGGGAGATCTGGAGAAGACAAAAGGGAATGAATGTTGTTAACTGCTCTATGTGAAGAAAGACATTAACAATAAACAAATCGTAAGAAGAAATTCCTATAAGGCTGGCATGGCAATGCTAAGTGATAAGTAAAAGCATACCGATGGGGTCGTAGGCCTTGTAGAGGTCAGAAGCCTCCGAGTAGTTTCCTGCTCCAGCCTTGTTGACAGCACAAACTCTGTACTGGTACTCGTTGTTCTCCGTCAGGTTGGTGACTTTCTGCCTGGTGTCTCTGATGGTGCCCTTCACCACCTGGCCAACAAAAAAAGTATGTTATGATGCCTGCACATGCTAGTTATCAGTTTGGCTTCTTTTACCTAAGTACAAAATCTGTAAAGGTCAGGACAGCAAACAAACCTTGAACCACTGCAGACTCTTCTTCTCCCTCTTCTCCAGGTAGTAGCCGTCGATGTCGCTGCCTCCATCCAACGCCGGTCTTTCCCAGATCACTGTCATGGTAGACTTGGTGATCATAGTCACTTTAGGCTTGGATGGCTCGCTAGGAGCAACTGTACGAAAGCAAAATAATGTTAGATGTAATAAAATAGTTCCCATTGTTGAAAAAACATCGAAAATCTTTTTTGCCATTTGTATATATGACAAATGTGAAATAATACATTGAAGTGTAGCAATTTTTTCGAAGCAAATGATCAACTCTGGATCGAACAGCAGTTGAGTTTATTCCGTTTGCTTACCAAATGCATTCTTTGCGATTATAGGTTCAGACTCCAGTGGGTCTCCGACGCCATACTTGTTGACTCCACGGATTCTGAAGATGTACTCATTGCCCTGGATGAGTCTGGGCACGTTAACAATGCAGTCGACCAATTTCTCTGAGATAATGGACCACATGACCCTGCTGGTTTCCCTCTTTTCCACAATATAATGCGTGACCATGGCACCGCCCTCGTCAGCAGGCGGGGACCACATGATGGTGATGTTGTCGGCCGTCACCTTCTTAAACTGAATCTCTCCAGCAGGAGGGCCTGGCTTGTCTGGGAAGGGGGAGGACATATTCATGCACGTTAGGGTCTAGATAGATAGATAGATAGATAGATAGATGTATACTTTATTCATCCCCAGGGGGAAATTTGTTTGTAGCAGCAGCAAACGAAGTTACAGAGTAAACATAAAAATATGAAAGATGAAAGATGCTCAATATATACAATAAGATAACAGAGCAGAATATAATAACATTTAAAGAAAATTTAAAGAAAATAAAAAATGCACAGTATATACAATAAAATAGAATGGTATAAGTTAACTAACTAGGTAAAAAACAGTAGTGCAAGGATCACCAACAGCAAACAACAACAGTTAGCAGTGTTGTCGTCAATTGAAGGATGATCTGGCCAGAGGTGATTTATTGTACAGTCTAATAGCAGTGGGCAGGAATGTTCCCCTGTATCGGTCCTTGTGACAGCGGAGCTGAATCAGTCTATTGGAGAAAGTGCTCCGCTGTCCCTGCAGTAGGTGGTGGAGAGGGTGGTCCGGGTTATCCAATATGGATAATAGTGTCTTCAGTGTCCTCCTCTCCACTATACTTTTAGATAAAGATAGATTTCATGCAAGGCAAAATTATCGTCATAAATACAGTTTAAATAATATCTGAATACCTTGAATGAGCAGCCTGACCATGCCGGACGCAGTTCCTAGGGAATTCTTCACCTTGACCTCATAGATTCCAGAGTTAAGGCGAGTGGTTTCCTTCAGGAACAAATTGGTGGACTCAAATGTGTGTTTGAAAGAGAGCTGGGCAGTAGGCTCGAGCTCTCTGCCATCCTTAAACCACTCAATAGTGGGAGCCGGTTTGGCTGTGATATTAAACTTGAGCTCCACATTAGATTCAGCCATGTACTTGACTTCGCTGAAGTACTCTTGAGGTATATCAATCTCTGGGGCACCTGGATGATAAACAAAAAATCAGGCAGGTGAATTCAAATTCTGATGGATATATGCATCATATATGATGGAACATGATGGACAAGAGAGTAGCTAGGATTCTTGTGGTGAAAAAAGTATATTTCCATGCGGTGTCCCAAATGTAACTTGTTAATTCTCTGAGGAGAGCAAATGCACTAAATGTTATGGCAAACCATAGTTTGGAATAAAATACTGAAAAACAAAAGAGACCTACCATAGGTGTCCACACATGTGGCTGGTCCAGCTGTCATGGATGGGTTGCTCACTGAGCCAACGGCATTCTTGGCCATGACTCTAAACTCGTACGTCTCGTCCTGGGTTAGGCCAGTCACAGTGAAGCGGGTTTCTGAGACATTGACGAGGTTAGTCTTGGACCACCTGGCACTAACGCCTTCTCTCTTCTCAATGATGTAACCGGTGATTGGGGATCCGCCATCGTAGTTGGGCCTCTGCCAGACCAGGCTAATGGAATTCTTGGTGATGTCACTTATACGAACGTTGGTCGGTGGCTCTGCAGGAACAACGGAAACTCATTATAAGACAACTGCTGCTAAGAAGCAATATCAGATATTCTTGATTGCTAAAGAAAGGTTTTGACATTCCACTCACCACAGGCATCAATAGCCAGCACTGCATCAGACATCTTGCTGAAGGCACTGATTCCAGCAGCGTTCTCTGCTGCTACCTTGAACTCGTAAATGAGTCCAGCATTGATGTTGGTGACCTTGAAGTGTGTTGCACGGATCACCATTTTGTTGACCCTCTGCCAAAGGATGCTGTTCCTGTCTTTCATCTGGAGATGGTAGCCAAACACATGGCTGCCGCCATCTGACTGAGGCTCCTTCCAGGCCAAATTGATGGTCTCCCTGGTTACACGAGTAATCTCTGGAGGTGATGGAGCTTCAGGAATAGCTGGGGGTAAAATTCAGAGATAAAGGGTGTTACCTTGTTCATCATGAAAAACAGAATAGAAAACATAATAACGTGATGATAAAAGAGGGAAGTAAAACAAAGATCACTTACTGTAAGGAAGTCTGACAGTGACAGTTGGCGAGTCAATGTGCTCGCTGATTCCATATCTGTTCTCAGCCCTGATTCTGAACTGGTACTCCAAGCCAGTGGTCAGCTTCATGACCTTCATGGTGCAGCGGGCCACAGCAGAAGAGACATCCATCCAGTTGGCTGTGGTTGTCTCTCTCTTCTGGATGATGTAGTTGGTGATAGGGCTGCAACCTTCATATGCCGGTGGGAACCAATTCAGGCTCACGCTGTCCTCTGTGACGTCAAACAGCTCCACAGGTCCAACTGGAGCACTGGGGCGGTCCAGAACCATTATTTTTACAAAGGATTTGGTGGTTCCACTGGAGTTGGAGGCGGTGATATCGTAGCGTCCTGAGTCTCCAGCAATGCTCTCACGTAAAATGATCTTGATGCTGTCAGGGGTGACTTCAGAGTTGAACCTCATTGTTGACTTGAGCCGAACGTTATCCTTGGACAGGGAGACTTGAGGCAAAGGCCGGCCTGTGAGTGGGATGTCACACTTGAGGGTGGAGCCGGCTCTAACATACAATGTGTTGTGGGGGAAGTCATTCATATTGATCTCAGGAGATTCTGGAGGAATAAAGTAACAAAGTGAGTTATAGCAGGGGAAACTGAGAGAAATATTGTGTAGTTTGACTTGGTTATTCCCTGGTTATATACAATAATTACAAGTAATGGATATTGGCTTATTGTTAAATACACACTGTTGTGTGTGTTTCTTAGTCTTCACAAATCACATTGTTGAATCTGATCAGCCTGATCTATAACACCTACCAAGCTGGTCTTTGACCACTACTGGGGTGACCATTTCCTTAATATCACTGAAGCCAGCATGGTTCTCTGCTCTGACTCTGAAGAAGTACTCGGCATTCTCCCTCAGACCAGACACTGTGAAGTGGATGGACTTGGTCACGCCACACTTAACCCACTTCTCCTGGCCTTTCTCCAGAGCTTCCAGCAGGTATCCAGTAATTCTGCTGCCTCCGTCTTGTTCTGGTTTGGCCCAGACCAGGGACACGCTCTCCTTGGTAACATCAATCACACCCAGCTTTGGTGGTGGACTTGGTTTTTCTGGAGAAAAAGGACATAATGTGTTTTATTTTAATAATCTGGTATTATCTTTTGCCTAACAATTAGAATATATAACTTTATGGACTTAAAATTCAATACCTGTGATCTTGGTTGCCTCTTTGGTCTCAGCAGAAACACCAACACCGTACTCATTCTCGCCTGTCACTCTGAAGAAGTAGACCCCTCCCTCCAGCACGTCCATCACCTTGTACGTCAGTCTGTTGCAAGTGTCAGTCAACCTGGTCCAGCCTTTTTGGCTGGCCTCACGGATATCAACAAGGTAGTTCTTGACTGGTCCTCCTCCTTCATTCTCAGGAGTGTCCCAGGTTACAGTAGCAGAGATCTTGGTCACGTCCTTGACCTCTACATGGGCAGGAGGTCCAGGAGAATCCAGGACTCTGACATTGAGTGTCAAGCAGGAGGTTCCAGCTACGCTGGACAAGGTGATGGTGTATTTGCCAGAGTCATTGCGAGTTGCTTTCTCTAAGGTGATGGAGGTGAAGGTGTCTGTGGTGTCAATGACAGCACGAACTCTAAGGTCAATATCAGGCTTAGACCATGTAACACTGGGGATGGGTTTGCCTCTGAAGGGTACTGTCATGGTGAATGAGCTACCATCCTTCACAATGAGAGTCTTCCTCATCTCATTGCTGATGTCAAAGACTGGCTCCTCCTCTCTTTCTTTGGCGACCTGTTTGTCTGATTCAGGACTGGGCTCACTGGTTCCAATCTTGTTAATGGACTTGATGACAAATACATATTCAGCCCCAGGTGTCAATCCCACCACTGTAAACTCTGTATTCTTGGTATTCTGGACTCCAGTAATCCATTCGTCATCGAAAGTATTCCTGTATTTGACTCTGTAACCAGTCACAGGTGATCCACCATCAAATAGTGGCTTATTCCATGACAAGGTGACTGTTGTCTTTGAAGAGTCGATGATCTTTGGCTTAGCAGGAGGTGAAGGCAGGAACAGTGGGTCTTCAGCCTTTGTAAGTGGGCAAGGAACGCTGGGAGCACTGAGGCCAGCAGAGTTCTCTGCAAACACTCGATACTCATACTCACCGCCCTGACGAAGGTGTGAAGCTTTGACTCTGAGGTCATAAACAGGTTTCTTGTTGACACGGCACCAGCGAAGGCCAGTCTTCTCTCGCTTTTCAATGACATAGCCAGCGAGACTGCTGCCACCATCAGAAACTGGTCTTTCCCAACAGATGGTCATTGCCTCACTAGTAATTGAGGTGACCTGTACATTAGTGGGAGCGGCAGGCACAGTGAATGGATCCACGGCCTTTGATGGATCACTCTCCAGGGCCTCACCATCCCCATATTTGTTGACTCCCCTGACTCTGAAGATGTACTCATTTCCTTTGAGCAACTTGGTCACTTTACAGGTGGTTGCCTTCATGTCACCATAGACAATAGTCCAGGTGAGGCGACTGGTCTCACGTTTCTCAACAATGTAGTGCATGATTTCAGCTCCACCATCCTCCTGAGGGGGGCCCCAATTTATGGTGCATTTCTCGCCTGTCAGGCCAGATACTGCCAGAGGTCCCGAGGCAGGTCCAGGTCTGTCCAGAACTTTACAGTTGATAGCCACAGACCGGGTTCCTGCTACATTGTGCAAGGTCAGGACATACTGGCCAGAGTCCCTCCTGATAGTGTCTCTGACAATCAGTGTAGTTGTGAAATTGGTGGAGGTGATTTCACACCTGGCCTTCTCCTCAATCTCCTTTCCATCCTTAGACCATGATACAACTGGGAGTGGACGGCCCGTGATTTCAGCATCAATTCTAATGATCTCTCCAGCCTTAATGACAACCAGCTGTCTTAACTTATCTTCCAGGATAATAGTGGGAGGGTCAACATCATCCTTGACTGTGACGGGACCGGTGCTCTCTGAGGGAGCACTTAATAGCTCTGCAGAATTCTTAGTGATGACGTGGAAGTCATATTGGACATCTTCTGTGAGGCCTGTGACATCAAAGTAGGTGTCTTGCAGGTTGGTGAAGTTGCATTTTAGCCAGCGGCCATTGGGAAGTTCTTTACGCTCAACAATGTACCCAGTTACCTTTATTCCGCCATCATACTCTGGCTTCTCCCAGAAGAGGGAAACTGAGGTCCTGGTAATGTTGGTGACTCTAAGGTTACGTGGAGATTCACATGGATCCCTGGCTGCCACAGGGTCACTGGCCTTAGTGCAAGGACCAATTCCAGCCATGTTCTCAGCATAGACTCTAAACTGATACAGCAGGCCTTCTTCAATGTCTGTCATTTTAAACTGGTTCTCAGCCAGCAGACCTCTGTTGACCTTGGTCCACAGGATGCTGCTTTGGTCTTTGCATTCAATGTGATAACCAATTACAGGGCTGCCACCATCACTGGCAGGTCTGCCCCATACCACGAGCATGCCGTACTTGGTGGCATGGGAAACATGGACATTGGTTGGAGGGCCAGGAGGCTCGAAGGGATACTGAGCAATAACGGGAGTAGAGTCAATGGCAGAACTCTTGCCGTAACGGTTCTCAGCTGCAATACGGAACTGATACTCTGTTCCGTGATTAAGACGAGACACCTTGATTGATGTCCTGGCTACTGTGGCTGAGACAATCTGCCATGAGGTTGTGGTAGTGTCTCTCTTCTCCACAACATAGTTGTTAATTTGGCATCCACCATCATAGGTTGGAGCATCCCAAGACAGAGAGATAAAGTCAGCGCTCACATCATCCATCTTAATGTTGCTGGGTGGGCCAGGTTTGTCTAGGATTATAACAGATATTTCAGCTGTGTTGGTGCCAACTGAGTTTGTCAGAGTAATCACATACTTTCCTACATCCTCCTTGGTTGCATCCTTGATGACAATCTTGGATGAGGTCTTGGAAGTAAGAACATTAACCCTTGTTGTCTGCTTAAGCACTTGGCCATCCTTCTTCCAGGACACTTCAGGATGAGGTCTGCCTCTGAAGGGAACATCAATCTTCAGGTCATCTCCTGCTTTTACACTGTATGTGTCGTACAACAGGTTGACGGTGGGCTCCATCGTGATGTCCTTTACAACCACAGGGGTAGCCAGAGGCTTAGCATCACTCTTGCCCTTGTCATTCACAGCAGTCACCCTGAAGGAATATTCCTCTCCAGTTGTGAGTCCACCAATAGTAGCTTCTAGTGCTTTGACTTCACTGCACACGGACCATTTATCATCTCCCTTTGGCTGCATCTCAACAATAAAGTTTGTAATCTTGCTACCTCCATCATGATCAGGTTTCTCCCAGGAAAGAGAGACTGTATGACGAGTTACGTCAACCAGGACAATCTTCCCAGGGGGCAAAGGAGCCTCAGCCACCTTGACTTGGTCCGTGGAGGCAGGCAGACCTACTCCGAGCTCATTCACAGCCAACACACGGAAATAGTATCGGCCTCCCTCCTGCAGGTCGGAAATGAGGTAAGAGTTCCTCACACAGTTGGTGCAAACACTAGTGAAAGCCATTCTCTTCTGCTCTCTCTTCTCCACAATATAGTGTGATATCTTAGCCCCACCATCTATTGAAGGAGGCTCCCAGGAGAGAGAGACAGAAGTTCTCTTCACATCCTTAACCACCAGGTTGGTAGGAGCGCTGGGGGAGTCCAGAACTCTGACATTGATAAAGGCTGATTTAGAACCACTGAGGTTCTCAAGGTTCAGTAAATATTTGCCAGTGTCGAATCTATCGACATTCTCGATCACCAGCATTGTGTAAGAGCTTGTGACTTCAATCTGGGCACGCTCATTCAAAGTGCCATCGGCTTTTGACCATTTGACCTCTGGCTCTGGCTTTCCTCTGATTGTCACAAACAGACGCAAGGAAGCGGTGGCACGAACATTGACCATCTTCCTCAGGTCAGCATCTAGTTCAATTTCAGGAGCCTCCAGCTTCTCTGCAGCGATAACAGAACCAGGAAGGTCCACATGCTCTCCTACTCCCTCACAGTTAACGGCACAGATGCGGAAGTTGTACTCTGCATTCTCCTTCAGATGCTTTACAGTGTAGTGAGTGGCCTGAACACCAGTGGGTGGTGTGCAAGTGATCCATTCATCATCTGCTGCCTCCTTCCTTTCAATAACATATCCGCTTATCTGTGCTCCACCATCATAGATAGGCCTGGACCAGGACAGGGAAATCGTGGTGCTTGAATGGCCGGTGACTTTGAGGTTATTTGGAGATCCTGGTGGATAAATGGCATCACAGGCTTTGATATATTCAGTTGGTGCACTAGGCTTTCCCACACCACCAGCATTTTCAGCTGAGATCCTGAATTCATAGGAGTGGCCCTCTGTGAGGCCAGCGCATCTGAATCTCAGGTCACTTAGTCTCTTCTTATTGCACTTAGTCCATCTGATGCCATCCATATCACGTTTTTCAAGGATATATCCTTCAATCTCGGCTCCTCCATTATGCTCTGGTCTCTCCCATGTAAGTACAATGGAGTCCCTAGTGATAGCGCTGGTCTCTAGGTTGGAGGGGGCACTGGGAGTGGTGAAGGGGTTACGAGCAAAAACAGGCTCAGATTCCAAAGGTTCACCAACACCATATTTATTCACAGCAGTGACTCTAAAGATGTATTCATTGCCGGGCAGCAGTTTTGTGATTTTGTAGCTGATGGCCTGGATCTTGGACTCAATCACGGTCCATGACAAACGACTGGTCTCCCTCTTCTCAATGATGTAGTGCGAGATGCTGGCTCCACCATCATGTGAGGGATGGTTCCAGTGCAGATAACATTTTTCAGCTGTGACCCCTTTGACTTCTAGCGGGCCATCTGGAGGACCAGGTCTATCCAGAACTTTAACATTAACTGGGACAATCTTGATTCCTCCTACATTGACAAGTTTGAGGTAAAAGTGCCCACCATCCACCCTCATGCAATCCTTGACTGTCAGGATGGTACGTGTGAGGGTGGTCTTGACCTCCATTCTTGGTGTGGTTTGGTCAATCTCTTTTCCATCCTTTAACCAAATTACTTCAGGCAGAGGCTTGCCAGTATAGTCGGCATCAATGACAAATGTCTCACCAGCACTAACAACAGTCATATCCTTGAATTTAGAATCCATGGTGGCATCTGGAGCCTCAATTTCATCTTTGGCAGTAATCTCTCCTGTGCTCTGAGAAGGACGGCTGGAAATTCCTGCAGCATTCCTGGCAATGACTCTGTACTCATAAACACAGTCCTCAGTCAGGCCAGTGACTGTGTACTGGGTAGTAATGATGTTGGTGAAGCTGGCCTTCATCCAGCGGGTATCTGGGTGCTTCTTCCTCTCAATCACATAGCCAGTGATTGCACTGCCTCCATCATACTGTGGCCGTGTCCACTGAAGCATCACAAGATTTCTGGTAATATTAATGGCCTCAGGAGTGCCTGGTGGGTCACAGGGGTCCCTGGCTACTGTGCTCGCAGAGACCTTGCTAGCTGGGCTGAGTCCAGCAATGTTCTCAGCATAAACTCTGAATTCATACTCAATAGCTTCTTCCAGCTCTGAAGTCTTGAAACGTGCGTCTGGGATTAGAAGCTTGTTGAGTTTAGTCCACAAGAGGCTGTTCTTCTCCTTTCTCTCGAGGTGATAGCCTAGGACTGGGCTTCCTCCGTTGTTGGTGGGAGCTTTCCACTCAACAACCATGTTTTCCTTTGTTGCAGCAGAAACAGTTGGTGTTCCAGGTGCAGCAGGCTCACTGAATGGATACTGAGCAATAACATTGGAAGAGACAATGGCAGAACTCTTTCCATATCTATTCTCAGCAGACACTCTGAATTGATACTCAATTCCAGTCTTTAAATTGGTGACTTTGATGGTTGTTCTGGCAATAGTAGCAGACACAATCTGCCATGCTGTTGTGGTGGTATCTCTCTTCTCCACAATGTAGTTGTTGATCTGACAGCCTCCAGTATACTCTGGTGGCTCCCAGGAGAAGGTGACATAATTAGAGCTCACCTCCTCAATCTTCACAGGGCCTGTGGGTGGGCCTGGCTTTTCAAGAATGACGACAGTAATCTCCTCTGTAGCTGTTCCAACACTGCTGGTGGCTGTGATGGTGTATTTACCAGAATCTTCTCTATTTGCATCCTTGATGCACAGCTTAGTGGATGATAGTGTGCTGGCTACATTTAGTCTAGTTGTCTCCTTAAGAGCTTGTCCATCTTTCTTCCATTCAACCTGAGGAACAGGGCGCCCAATCACTGGAATCTCAATCTTCAGATCCTCACCATTCTGTATACTGTAAGTGTTGACTGTCATCTTGAATCCGGGCTTGATAGTTACATCTTTAGCAGTGACTGGTGCAGCCAGAGGCCTGGGGTCACTCTTTCCCTTTTCATTGAAAGCTGATACTCTAAAGAAGTACTCATGACCCACACTTAGGCTTGTGACGGTGCCCTCACAAGTTTTGGTTGTGGCGGCCACCACCCATTCTTCTGAACCCACAGGCTGCATCTCAATGTAGTAGCCCATAATCCTGCTGCCTCCATCATGGTCTGGCTTCTCCCAGGAGAAGGAGGCAGAGGTTTTGGACACTTCAGTCAAAGTGACTTTACCGACTGATAGAGGAGGCTCAGAGGTCTTAACTGAGTCTTCTGTCTCAGCTGACTGTCCAACACCAAACTCATTCTCTGCTAAGATTCTGAAATAGTAGATTTGTCCCTCAGTGAGGCCGGTGATACGGTAGCTTGTCTTTGTGCACTTGTTGTCCACGTTAGAATAAACTATCCTGGTTGACTCACGCTTTTCAACCAGGTAATTCTTGATTCTTGAACCTCCATCAATAAGAGGAGGCTCCCAGGTCAAAGTGACACTTTCCCTCTTAATGTCTTTTACTGTCAGATTCACAGGGGCCCCTGGAGTGTCCAGAACTTTAACAGAAACAAAGGCTGATTTGGTGCCAGCGCTATTTTCCAAGTTGAGGATGTATTTTCCAGCATCATATTTGTCACAGACATCAATGGAGAGCTGTGAGTATTCTTCACCAGAATCTATCTGAGCTTTAATGGGCAGTAATCCATCCTCTTTGGCCCAGCTGATCTCAGGAGTAGGATGGCCTTTGAATGGAATACAGATTCTCATTGAGCCTCCTGCACGAACAACCATTCCCTTCCTGAGCTCTGCATCCAGAATCATCTCTGGAGGATCAAGCTTATCCAATGGTTTCACGACTCCCTCGATCTCGGTGGGCTCACCAACACCCAGCTTGTTAATTGCACATATGCGCACCTTGTATTCCTGGTGCTCTATCAACTTAGTGATGGTAAACTTGGTAGCATTAACTCCAGAAGGTGGGGTGCATATGCTCCACTCCTCCTCATCAGCCTTAGTAATTTCCACAGCGTATCCTTGAATCTCACAACCACCATCATAGATAGGCCGGTGCCAGGCCAGACTGATGGTGTCTTTAGTCACATTGACCACATGGGCATTGGAGGGACAGCCCGGTTCAAAGGAAGGGTCACAGGCTTTGAGGTAGGATGTAGGTGGGCTTGACTGACCCACTCCAGCTACATTCTCAGCAGATACCCTGAATTCATATTCATGGTCCTCAGTCAGTCCAGTTACTCTGAAACGTAAGTCTGTCACTCTGCGTTTGTTGCACTTGGTCCATCTCACTCCAGCTCTGTCTCTCTTCTCAACAATGTAACCACCAATCTCACTGCCTCCAGTTGTCTCAGGGCGGTTCCAGCAGACAGTCATGGAATCTCTGGTAATGTTAGTGATTTCAAGCTCCTGAGGTGAGCCAGGGGGAACAAATGGATTTCTCATGATAACTGGCACTGATTCAAGAGGCTCGCCCGTTCCGTATTTGTTGACAGCCATGACTCTGAAGATGTACTCATTGCCCTTCAACAGTTTGGTAACCTTGAACATGGTAGCTCCACAGTCACTGGAGACTACAGTCCATGCCAGGCGGCTGGTTTCTCTCTTCTGAATGATGTAGTGTGAAATGCTAGCTCCTCCATCGTGCCTGGGGGGCAACCATGACAGTGAGCACTTTTCCTCAGTGGCATTGCTGACGGTGAGAGGTCCCTCTGAGGGACCGGGTCTGTCCAGGACCTTCACACTGAATGGGACAGTCTTAGTTCCAGCTACATTAGTCAGAACCAGTGTGTACTGTCCACCATCCACTCTGATGGCCTCTTTCACAACGAGCAAAGCCTTAAAATCTGTGTTTTTGATCTCAGCTCTTGCCGAGTTTTCAACTTCAACATTTCCCTTGAACCACTGAGCTGCGGGGATGGGCTTTCCTTCCACACTGGCCTCCAAACTGAAAATCTCTCCAGCATTGATAACAATGGTCTGGTTGTACATAGGATCTGTCTCACACTTAGGCGGGTCAATTTCATCCATGGCTGTGATGGATCCTGTGCTCTCAGAGGGCTTGCTGACAGCACCAGCTGCATTCCTTGCAATTACTCTGAAATCATATTTACTGTTTTCTGTCAGACCAGTAACTGTGAATTCATGTTCAATGACGTTTGCAAAGCTGGCCTTCATCCACTTTCCCTCAGGAAGGTCACGATTCTCCACTACATAGCCAGTAATTAAGCTTCCACCATCATACTCTGGAGCAGTCCACTTCAGCTTCACTGAGTGCCTGGTCACAATCACAGCCTCAGGACGGCCAGGAGGATAACATGGGTCACGGGCTACATAAACCTCAGAGACTTTGCTGCATTTTCCGATGCCAACAATATTCTCAGCATATACTCTGTACTCGTACTCAATGCCTTCCTCAAGAGGAGTAGATTTGAACCTGCAATCTTGGATGAGCATTTTGTTGATCTTGGTCCAGAGGATACTGTTCTTCTCCTTACGCTCCAGATGGTAGCCCAAAATGGCACTTCCTCCATCAGATGGGGGTTTGTGCCACTCAACCACCATATAGTCTTTAGAGTATGTAGACACAAATGGTGTTCCTGATGGGCCAGGCTCCTGGAACGGATACTGAGCCACAACAGGCGTTGAATCGATTGCATAACTCTTTCCATATCTGTTCTCAGCATAGATTCTGAACTGGTATTCACTGCCTGTCTTCAGATTGCTCACTTTTAGCGTGGTTCTTGCCAGTGTGGCAGATAAGACCACCCAGTTGGTTGTTGTTGTGTCTCTCTTCTCAACCACATAGTTGGAGATTGGGCAACCACCTGTATATGTAGGAGGTTCCCAGTTAAGAGTCATACACTCAGCACTGACATCCTCAAATTTGACAGGGCCTGTTGGTGGGCCTGGTTTGTCCAGGGTAATCACCTCAATAGTGGCATCCTTGGAACCCAGGGTATTGAAAATATTGATGCTGTACATGCCTCCATCCTCTTTGGTAGCATCTTTTATGGTGAGAGTGGTGTGACGTGCTGAGTCAGTGACATTGACTCTGGTGGTCTGCTTAAGGGCTGCTCCATCCTTGGTCCAAGTGATAGTTGGCTTTGGATGACCAGCAAATGGGACCTCAATCTTGAGGTCATACCCCACCTGGACACTGTAGGTGCTCATTTTGGGTCTAACAGAAGGCTCAATCACAAGGTCCTTAGTTACAACTGATTGGGCCAGTTGTCTGGGGTCACTTTTGCCCTTGTCATTTACAGCAAAAACTCTGAACTGGTACTCTTCCCCCTTGAGCAGATTTGTCACTACAGTCTCCAGTGCTTTCCCACTGGTGCACAGAGACCAAATTTCGCTGTCCTTAGGTGCCAATTCAACTTCATAGTGACTGATCCTACTGCCGCCGTCATGTTCAGGCTTCTCCCAGGATAGAGTTACGGTGCTACAAGTGACGTCAACAACACTGACTTTACCAGGTGGCTGAGGCTTTTCAGATATCTTAACTGGTTCTATAGTTTTAACAGGGAGACCCACACCATATTCATTCTCAGCCGAGACTCTGAAGAAGAAGATTCCACCCTCTGGAAGAGGTTCAACTTTCCATGACATCTTGTTGCAGGTGGTGATGGGAGAATAAACTTTCCTAGTGCTCTCACGCTTCTCAACAATATAATGCTTAATCTTTGAGCCACCATCTAGATGTGGAGGCTCCCATGTGAGAGTGACGGAATTTTTGGTAATCTCTTTCACCAAGAAGTTAGCTGGTGGACCAGGTGAATCCAAGACTCTGACACTGATGAAGACTGACTTCACTCCGCTGGCATTCTCTGCAGTCAGGGTGTACTTGCCAGTGTCAAATCTGTCAACATTCTCAATGACAAGTGTAGCATAGCTGCTTGTATTGTCAATCAGGGCAGTTTCCTTAATCTCACCCTCAGCCTTCCCCCATTTCACCTCAGGAGCTGGACGACCTCTCACAGGAACAAACAGCCTGAGAGTACTTGCTGATCTAATGTTGATCATCTTTCTCATATCAGTATCCAAGTCAAGATCAGGGGCCTCAAGCTTTTCCTCCAACAGAATTTTTCCTGGAATATCAGCATGCTCCCCAACACCAATTTTGTTGATGGCACACACTCTGAATTGGTATTCGTGCTTCTCCAGAAGCTTTTTCACTGTAAACTTGGTGTCTGTGATTCCAGTTGGAGGAGTGCACATAAACCACTCATCAGTTGCTACATCGCAGGCCTCAACAATGTAAGCCTGAATCTCACAGCCACCGTCATAGATGGGTTTGCTCCATGTCAGGGAAACAGTGGACCGTGATGTGTCCACCACCTTGGGGTTGTTTGGTGGGCCTGCTTTGAAGATTGGATCCAATGCTTTGTAGTACACGGTTGGTGCACTAGGTGTGCCAACCCCTGCAGTATTTTCAGCAGCAACTCTGAATTCATAGCTGTGGTTTTCTAGGAGCCCTGTCACTCTGAAGCGCAGCTCACTCACTGTGCGCTTGTTGCACCTGGTCCATCTCACACCGTCCTTATCACGTTTCTCAACAATGTATCCCTGAATAGGGCTGCCACCATCATTAGTTGGTCTATCCCAGGTCACCACCATTGAGTCTTTGGTGATTGTGGAGACTTCTACATCTGTTGGTGAGTTGGAAGTGACAAATTGATTTTTGGCAATCATCGCCTCAGATTCCAGAGGCTCACCAACTCCGTATTTGTTGACTGGAATCACTCTGAAGATGTACTCATTACCAGGAAGAAGTTTTGTGATCTTCAGGCTCAGTGTCTGAACATTTTGTTCAACTACAGTCCAAACCAGTCGGCTGGTTTCCCTCCTCTCAACAATGTAATGGGAAACATCGCTACCTCCATCTTGCAGGGGAGATTTCCAGGCAATGGTGCATTTCTCATTGGTGACCCCATAGATGGAGATAGGGCCCTCGGGTGGACCTGGTCTGTCCAGGACCTTGACATTAATGTTAACTGATTTCTCTCCTCCAACATTTTTTACCAGCAAAGTGTACTGACCTCCATCAACACGGATAGCTTCTCTAACCACTATGCAAGCTGTGAAGTCTGTGTTCTTGACCTCTAGGCGTGCTGCTTCAGAAATCTCTTGGCCTTCCTTCAGCCAGTGTACAGTGGGCACAGGCTTACCGGAGATACCAGCATCAAGCCTGAATGTCTCTCCAGCATTTACCACCACATTCTGGGAGTACTTAGCTTCTAAGTCAATCTTGGGTGGATCCACCTCATCCTTAGCAGTGATGGTTCCAGTAGAATCAGAGGGCTGGCTGGAGACACCTGCTGAATTCCTGGCGATGACACGGAACTCGTAAATTTGATCTTCAGTAAGTCCTGTGACAACAAATTTAGTCTCAATGACGTTGGCGAAACTAGCTTTCATCCAGCGGCCGGCTCCTTCCTTCTTCTCAACCACATAGCCTGTGATCTTGATGCCGCCGTCATAGTCAGGTTTGGTCCATCTGAGTGTCACTTGGTTTCTTGTCACAATGACAGCCTCTGGTTTTCCTGGTCTGTCACAAGGATCTCTGGCCACTTGCATTTCACTCAGTTTGCTGGCTTTGCTGAGGCCAACAATGTTCTCGGCATAGATTCTGAACTCATATTCAATACCCTCCTCAAGGCCAACCACCTTAAATCTGTTCTCTGGGATTAGTTGTTTGTTCTGTTTCACCCACAGTATACTGTTTCTCTCCTTGAGCTCCAAGTGGTAGCCCAGAATTTTGCTCCCACCATCATTGCTGGGTGTATCCCAAACAACCACCATGCTCTCCTTGGTGGCTGACTGGACCACAACAGAACGTGGTGAGCCGGGCACTTCAAATGGATACTGAGCAACAATAGTTTCAGAGAGCAGGACAGAGGACTTGCCATATCTATTCTCTGCAGCAATCCTAAACTGGTACTCAACTCCAGTCTTCAGACGGGCTGCCTTGATAGTGGTTCTGGCCACAGTAGCTGACACAATCTGCCAGTTAGTGGTAGATGTGTCTCTCTTCTCAACAATGTAATTGCTGATGGCACATCCACCGTCATACTCTGGTGGATTCCAGGACAACACCGCGCTGTCAGCAGTGACCTCATCCAGCTTAATTGGGCCAGTTGGAGGAACAGGCTTATCTAAAACAATGACACTGACGTCTGTAGATGCTTCTCCAACTCTGTTGGTCAGTTTGATGGTGTATGTGCCCACATCATCTCTGCAAGCCTCCTTAATAACCAGGAGAAGGTTTTTGTCTGTGGCTTCAGCATTAACTCTTGTTGTCTCCTTGAGAACAATGCCATCTTTGAGCCAAGTTGCTGTAGCCTTTGGACAGGCAGCATATGGCACATCTATCTTCAGATCATCTCCTGCTAGCACACTGAATGTGCTGAAAATCAGTTTGAAGGTTGGTGAGATGACTAGGTCTTTAGCCACCACAGGCAAACTAAGAGGACGTGGATCACTAACTCCCTTTTCATTGGCGGCTGAGATACGGAACATGTACTCCTCTCCCTGTGTAAGGCCAGTTACAAGAGCCGCATTGGTCTTTACCACCATGACCTGGGTCCACTTCTCACTGCCTTTACCCTGCATCTCAACAATATAGCCTGTGATTCTGCTGCCACCATCATAGTCAGGCTTTTCCCAGGTTAGTGCGACACTGGAGCTGGTAACTTCAAGAAGGGACACTTTACCTGGTGGTAGAGGCTTCTCTGACACTTTAATTGATTCAGGAGTCTCTACTGGGAGACCAATGCCATATTCATTCTCAGCAAGGATTCTAAAGCAGTACATCTTTCCTTCCTCCAGGTCTCCAACTTTCCAACTGGACTTGTGGCAGCTGGCACAGACTGTTGAGTAGGCCTTTCTGGTTGACTCTCGCTTCTCCACAATGTAGTTGCGAACTCTGGAGCCACCATCAATGAGAGGTGCATCCCAAACGAGGGAAACTGAATCTCTGGTGATCTCCTTGACAAACAGATTCTGAGGGGCTCCAGGAGTATCAAGCACCCGGACATTAATAAAGGCTGTTTTGCTTCCTGAGGCATTTTCCACCGTCACCATGTATTTACCTGCATCAAACCTGTCAACGTTGTCTACCTGAAGAGTGGTGAATGATGAGGTGATTTCAATGTTAGCTCTGTCCAGGGATTCTCCATGCTCTCTTGACCATTTAACTTCAGGTACTGGTCTGCCCTTGATAGGAACAAAGAGTCTCAGTGTGCTACAGGCTCTGAGGCTGACCACCTTACGCAGCTCTGCTCCAAGTTCAATTTCTGGGGGAAGCTGTCTGTCTTCAGCCTTGGGTGTCCCAGGAACAGCAGCGGGTTCTCCCACTCCCTCACAATTAGTGGCACAGACGTTGATTTTGTACTCTTGGTTTTCCTTCAAGTTGGTAATGGTGAAGGAAGTGGCTGTCCATCCCTTCTTGGGAGTGTGTATTGTCCACTCATCCTCCTCAGGGAGGCAGGTCTCCACAATGTAACCAGTGATTTCAGAACCACCATCGTAGACAGGCTTGTTCCAGGCAAGGGTGACGGAAGACTTGGTTGTGTCCAGCACTCTTGGGTTCCCTGGTGGTCCAGGCTGGAAGATGGTGTCTACAGCTTTGTAGAATGGACTGGAAAGACTAGGCTGGCTAAGACCAGCATTATTCTCAGCAAAAATTCTGAATTCATATTCATGTCCTGGTGTGAGGCCAGAGGCCTTGAAGCGCAGGTCAGTTACAGTCCTCTTGTTGCATTTCACCCATCGCAGGCCAATCTTATCCCTTCTCTCAATTATGTAGGTGTTTAATCTGCTGCCTCCATCATGTTCAGGGCGCTCCCAGCAGACGACCATGGAGTCCTTGGTAATGGTGGTGACTTCAGGCTGCTGTGGTGGGTCACTGGGGACATACGGGTTGGCACAGATGACAGGTTCCGACTCCAGAGGCTCACCCACCCCATACTTGTTAACAGCCATGACTCTGAAGATGTATTCATTGCCCTTCAGGAGCTTGGTGACTTTGAACCTGTTTGCCTGAAGTTCTGTGGCCACGTTTGTCCATGCCAATCTACTGGTCTCTCGCCTCTGAATGATAAAGTACTCGATCTTGGCACCACCATCATGTGTTGGATGTAGCCAGTTAAGGACACATTTCTCAGCAGTGACATCAGTAACACTGAGGGAGTCTGGTGGCCCAGGTCTGTCGAGCACCTTGACATTGAAGTTGAACTTGGCAAAGCCACCGGGATTGCTGGCGGTGAGTGTAAAAGCACCTCCGTCCCTCCTCAGGGAGTCTTTGTTCATTAGAGTTGTGTGGAAGTCGGTTGTCTTTATCTCTAGCTTGGCTGTATCCTCAAGCTCCTTTCCTTCCTTGGTCCATACCAGAGATGGGATTGGCCTGCCAGTCACGTTGGCCTCCAGCTTGAACAAATCTCCTGCCATGACAACAACATTGCTGCTATACAATGCATCAACATTAAGCCTGGGCTCTTCAATGTCATCTCTGCATATGATTGCCTCTGATGACTGGGATGGAGCACTGACAGCACCAGCTGAGTTTCTAGCAAACACACGGAATTCATAAGTTGCATCTTCGATCAGACCACTGACTGTGTAGATGGTTTCTTGGATGTTGTTAAAGTTGGCTTTAAGCCAGCGTCCATTGGGCATCTCTCTCCTCTCTACTGTGTATCCAGTGATGGAAAATCCACCATCTCCCTCCGGTTTGGTCCACGAAACTGTCACCTCATGTCTGGTGATATTCAGTGCCACAGGTCTGCCTGGTGGGTCAACTGGGTCCAGAGCATACATAGTCTCAGAGGGTTTGCTTGGTTTGCTGAGACCAGCCATGTTTTCAGCAATAACACGGTGTTCATACCCGATTCCATCAACAAGGCCTGTTGATTTGAAGATATTTCCAACAACAATTGCTTTGCTGATTCTCTGCCACAGAATGCTATTTTTCTCTTTTCTGTCCACGTGATAGCCAAGGATGACACTACCACCATCAGAGGAAGGCTCATTCCAGCTCAGAGTCTGAGCATCCTTGTTGAAAGATGTGACCACAGGAGCGCCTGGCTGGCCCGGCACATCAAATGGATACGCAGCCACCACTGGTTCAGAGATAATGCATGGTCCAATGCCATATCTGTTCTGGGCCTTGACACGGAATTGATATTGGGTTCCAGTGTTGAGTCGGCCTGCCTTGAATGTGGTGCGGATCACTGTAGCTGCCAACTCCATCCAAGAAGTACCAATAGTCTCCCGCATCTCAACAATATAGTTGTTGATGGGAACGCCTCCATCATTCTCTGGTGCCTCCCAAGACATGAGAACATAATCACATGAAACCTCGTCCAGCTTTATGGGACCAGTGGGAGGACCTGGGATGTCGTGGACCAGGACTGTGATCGTCTCAGTCACTGTGCCCAGCATGTTCTTTCCAGTCATGGAATACTGGCCTCCATCTTTCCTCTTCACCTCACTGATGTTGAGGATAGTTGACATTGGTGTGGTTTCAATGTTCATTCTTTGTGTCTCCTTGAGCCCTATGTCTCCCTTCTTCCAGGAAACCACAGGTCTGGGTTTACCGAGCACTGGAATCTCCACCTTGATGCGATCCCCTGCTTTGGCGATTACCGTCATCTGGTAGACTCCACGCAGGTCAAATGAAGGAGCAGATAACTGCTCTTTGATAATAGCAGGTCTGCTCTCACGTGGGTCACTCCTGCCTGATGCATTGACAGCCATTATGCGGAAGGTATATTCTGCGCCCTCAATCAGATCTGTGACAGTGTAGTCCAGAGCCTTCAAGGTGTCCACATGGACCCACTGGTCAGTGTCCTTCTTCTGGGCCTCAATGACGTATCCAGTAATCAAGCTGCCACCATCATGAAGGGGCTTGGTCCATGCCAGACTAGCACTGTTAGCTGACACATCTGTAACATACAAGTTATCTGGTGCTGAGGGGGCCTGAGACACCCTGATTGGCTCTGGGGATTCAGCAGGCTCACCTATGCCCAGGTCATTCTCAGCAGAGATACGGAAGTAGTAGTAAGCTCCCTCCTCAAGGTCTATAAACTTGAAGGAGCACTTCTGCCATGTAGTGCTAATTACTGTGTAGGCCTTCTTGGTGGCCTCCCTCTTCTCAATAACATAGTTGCAAATCTTAGAACCACCATCGATTATAGGGATTTCCCACTGGAGAGTGATGCTGTTCTTGGTGATCTCTCTGGGCTTGACGTTGACTGGTGGTCCTGGTGTGTCCAAAACCTTCACATTAACAAAGCCGGTCTTCTTCCCAGCAACGTTCTCGAGACACAGGTTGTACTTTCCAGCATCGTATCTGGTGCAGTCAGGAATAACCAGTAGAGTGTAGGACTCTGTGGTGTCAATGTGTGCACGTCTTTTCAGGTTGGTATCATCTTTGCTCCAGGTTACTTCAGGAACTGGACGACCCCTGATGGGAACAAAGATACGAATTGAAGCACGGCACCTGACCACCAGGGTTTTCCTGAGTTCAGCATCCAGCTCAAAGTCTGGCAGCGTCTCCTGGTCCACCAGTTCAATCACTTTCTCAACCTCTGCAGGCTCACCAACTCCCTCCGAGTTTACAGCAGTGACTCTGAAGTGGTATTTGCCTCCTTTTTGAAGTTTACCAATGACATATTCAGTAGCTTTCAATGGATACTGTGTCTCCACCTCCCAGTCATCATGCCCTTCCTTTTTGTACTCAACAATATATCCTTCTACTTCAAGACCCCCATCATAGTGGGGTCGGCCCCAGGCGAAGGAAGCTGTGGTTTTTGTGGTGTCTGTAATTCTGGCGTTGGATGGAGGACCAGGTGGATCTAATAAACAAGAAAAACATTTAGGAATTAAAATGCGGGTGCTTGATGTGTATTTTCTGACTTTTCTGCATATGCAACTCTCCTATCTTAAAATATGATCCAGAATAATGTGATGAGTCTAGTTTTACTTACATACAATGTCCTTGGTCATCACAGGTTGTGATGGCTCACTTGGCTCCCCAAATCCAGCCTTGTTCTCAGCAGTGACTCTAAACTCATACTCTACTCCCTCAGTTAGGCCTTGCACCTTAAAGCGCAGGTCAGGGACCGACCTCTTACTGGCTCTCACCCATCTCATTCCTCTTCTCTCTTTCCTCTCTACACAATATCCTCTGATGTCACTTCCCCCGTCCTGTGCTGGTCTCTTCCATGAAATGGTGACAGCGTTCCTAATGATGTTATCAACCTCTGGGACTGAAGGTGGGCCTGGTGGGCCTGGAGAAACAAAGAACGGAAGAACATTTTAGTCAGTTATGCCATGATCTATGAAAACCTTCTCCTTGAAAGGATTTTTTAAAATCTGATGGTTAATTGAATTTTAAATATCATACAATTATAATCATATGTAAACCACAAAAACTTACGGTAACTGTCAACCATTTTTATTGGACTGGACTGGCTTGAGTCTCCAATGCCATTCTGGTTCACAGCAAACACTCTAAAGATGTACTCGTTGCCCTTGATCAGCTTGCCGGCTACATGTCTGCAGTCCATGACGTTTTCAGCTAGCTTGGTCCACTGCAGGCGGCTGGTCTCTCTCTTCTCAAGAATGTAGGACTTGATAGAGAAGCCTCCATCCTCATCTGGTGGAAGCCAGGTCAGAGTACACTTCTCAGCTGAAATGTTACTGGCTTCGATGGGGCCCGGTGGTCCAGGCACATCCAGGACCTTCACCTTTACATGTTCTTCCTTAATGCCAAAGGGGTTGCTGGCGGTGATGGTGTACTCTCCCGTGTTCTTCCTGCTTGCGTACTTGATAGCCAGAGTGGAGGAGGTGGGGGTGCTGGTGATGGTGATGATGTCAGAGCTCTTCAACTCACGTCCTCCCTTCGACCAGACAGCAGTGGGTGGAGGTTTGCCCAAAATCTTGGAGGCTGAGATCAGGATGGTGTCTCCTGCCTTGACTGATACACCGTCCTTCATGTCTGGGTCAATAGTGATGGTCGGGGGCTCTGCAGAGAAGACAAAAGAAAGTTGCATTTTAATTTAATTTAGCTGGACTCATCCTCATTTTTAACTGCTGATCTACCCAAATTGGTTGACTTCTCAGCTTACCATACTCATCCTTGCAGGTCAGAAGCTCAGTTGGCTCTGAGGGAACACTGATAGCCCCAGCAGAATTCTTAGCCCTGATCCTGAACTGATACTGAGCTCCCTCTGTCAGGTCAGTGACGGTGAAGGCACAGCCCTGGATGTTGACATGATTGGCCTTCATCCAGGCCTTGCCACCAGCCTCCAGCTTCTCCACCATGTAGCCTGTCAGCTTGTGGCCGCCGTCGTATTTCGGACTGGTCCACATCAGAGTGACCGTGGTCCTGGTGACATTAATCACGTCAGGCTTGCCGGGAGGATCTAACAGAACAAAGAGTAAACACGTTAAAACGTACAGAAACAAATAAAAAATATTAGCATTGTAAGAAACACTGGAGAGTTATCGAAGAAGAATTTTAGTTTTCACATTTGGAAAAACAAAAGCAGTAAACTCACCAATAGGATCCAGGGCAACCACACCCTCAGTGACCCTGCTTGGCCTTCCAAGGCCGGCCATGTTCATGGCCATCACCCTGAACTCGTACTCTAGTCCCTCTATCAGGCCAGTGACTCTACACTCCTTCACTCTCAGAGGAGTCTTACTGGCACGTTTCCACATCAGACTGTTCCTCTCCTTAAACTCCACATGATATCCTACAGAGGACACAAAATCAGTTGGTTCACGATTACTGCTGTTTGCTATTGGCTCATGCTTAACTACAAACTGATATGCATCACAGTCTTTACCAGTTATTGGGGAACCACCGGTGTCCTTTGGATCAGCCCAAGTCAAGATGGCTGACTCGTGGCGGATGGTCACTATTTCTGGAGGAGCAGGCGCCTCGGGCACATCTGGAGGAAGCAGAGAAAGAGAAGTTAACAAAGAGATGAACAAACCACAGAGTTGAAAAATCTTCACATAGCCACAAGTGCCTGATAAGGCTTTACTTTGTCTTCATGAAGCTGTTAGCCTTACATTCTTTCACATGTAACAGTATTCATCTCTATCATTTCTAGTAAAACTTTGTCCCTTAACACAAAACCTGAATTTCTAACTTATGCATTTGAATCTGTTTCTACAGAAATCTCTCTCTCTGAATACTGCAGGACTTTACACACCGGTAGCGTGACGAATAAACAACACGTCAATGTGAAATACTCACCTGCGCATATTTTGCATTTAAACTATATCAGCAGCAATGCAAATTTGCAACAGTTGCAGCACTTTTTCAATAAAAGGATTTCATAGATTCATGCAGACTGAGGACCAACTACCAGGATTCTACTGACCCAGAGCAGTCTGAGGAAAACTGTTGTCTAGAGTAAGCTTAAGTTCCCTCTGATTAACAGTTATGCAGTGTATATGTTTAGGGCTTTTATTGTGAAAGGAAAGAGTGGAACACAACTGATTTGCATGATTTAAGACTCTAGAGTTGACTAGCTGACACTGACACTTGACATTAAAAACACCAACTAGCACCTGACAGACTATAACAGACATGTGACCGCCTCAGTAGTAGTTAGGAGTGTGATACTCACTAAATGGATGCTGGGCGATGACCGGGTCGGACCTCAGATACTCTCCAATCCCATACTTGTTCTCAGCAAACACTCTGAAGATGTACTCTGTTCCATCGTGGAGCCGGATCACCCTCATAGTGGTCTTCTGGATGGCCGAGGCCACTGTGAGCCACTTGTTGTCCGTTGTCCTCCTCTTCTCCACGATGTAGTTGGACACCTCCGCACCGCCGTCATCTTTGGGCGGCGCCCACTCCAGGGTCATACCGTCAGCGGTGATCTCTTCAAACTTAATGGGTCCGGTGCAGATGCCGGGCTTGCCGACTACCTTCAGCTGGAACTTGCATTCCTTGGAGCCGCCGTTGTTCCTGACGTGGATGTTGTAGGTCTCGGCGTCTCCTCTCTGGCAGTCTCTGATCAGCAGGGTGGTGACGCCGTGAGATGCCTCCACGCACATTCGGCCGGTGTCGCCGATCACCACATCGCCTTTCTTCCAGGTGGCGGTGGGGAGAGGCACTCCGGTGATTGGGATGTTGATACGTGTGGTGCTGCCCTCCTTCACCGTGCAGCAACCATCATGCAGAGCACTCAAGTTGCAGTCAGGCCGCACTGAAAAACAAAGGAATTCAGAAAATATTTAAACACAAAACATTGACTACAAACTGAACTAAAATCTGGCACGATGGCGGAGTTGGACTGATTTCTTACCAAACTGGTCCTTGGCGACGACGGTGAGGTCGGTGGGTGGTCCCTCTCCAGACTGATTGAGCGCCTTGACTCTGAACAAATACTCCTTGCCCTCAGTCAGCTCGCTCATGGTGTGCGAGGAGTTCTTGCCCTTCGTGATCTGCTTCCACTTCTGCTCGCCTTCACTCTGCTCCAGGATGTAAGCAGTGACATGGCTTCCACCGTCGCTGATGGGCTTCTTCCAGCCCAGGACGACCGAGTCCTTGGTGGTCTTTTGGGCTCTGAAGTCCGTCACTGGACCAGGTTGCTCTGAAAGGGGAGGACGGATGAGTTAAGACCGAACATGTGGTTTTACATAAACAAGATGTGTTTAACGTAGACTGTAGATTTGAATGATTATGATTAAAAACATACATACAGTATATGGTGATTATTTCTTAATGATTAGTTTAAGACAATACCTAAAATTGACCACTTTTACCCCAACATAAACAAAGGATTCACTATATCGCTGGACTGGGAAGGACAAATCTAAAAACCTGGTGATGCCCTTTGTTAGAGTTGAGTCCTCTAATACTGATCATACTTTGATATACTTTACTGTACTCTGCTGTATAAAGAAACGTAACAACAACAGAGACTTGTAGCTACCTGAGGCTTGGACGCTGCCGGCGGTCTCGCAGCCCTCCCCGATCCCGTAGGCGTTTTCGGCCAGTACTCTGAAGCAGTAGGCCTGTCCGGCCTCCAGGTTTGTGATCCTGTAAGAGATCTTGCAGCAGTCCGTCGCCACACAGGTCCAGGCCTTCCTCTCGGCCAGACGTTTCTCTACGACGAAGCTCTTGACGGGGCTGCCACCGTCGATCAACGGGGCATCCCAGGTGATGCTGGCGTGGCTCCTGGAGGTCTCCTTCACAATCAGGTTCATTGGCGGTCCAGGAGAATCTGACGGGGGAAGGAGAGGCAATATTTCTGGTTTAGAGCTTTTGTTAACTGAACCCAGGTACAAATCACGTCGTAGATTCACATGACGGGAGAGAAGAGTCTGAGCTTCAGCAGATTGTTTGAAGCTTTTTGCCAATTGTATAATTTTTAATAATCCAGTTTATATCTTAAGCAATCATATTGCTCAGAGTTAAACATATTTTGATAGTACTCTTTACACAATCTAATTTCACTGTTCAAGCAAGCACAGTTTTAGTGATTTGCAGGTGAAAAGACATGGACAGCAAGGTTAACATCAGGTTAGATGTCTAGATATCTAGACATATTTAAATTCATAAAAGGACCAGACCTGCACTGAACTCTATTTATGAAAATAACTCTTCAACCATTAAAATGATCTTGATTTTAACCTTGATTTCTTTTCACCTGTAAGGTACCAAATGCATGCTTACTGGGGTGTGTGCGCTCTGTTTCATCTCCCTCATTGTGTTTCCTATTCTCTTACCGAGGACCTTGACCACGATGGTGTAGCTCTTGGAGCCGCTGCTGTTCTCCAGCGACAGGACGTATTTGCCGGCGTCGTATCTGGTAACGTCCTCGATCATCAGCAGGGTGTCCCACTCCGACGTCTTGATCAGCACGCCCTGCCTGTCCTTCAGGGTGGCGTCCACCTTCGTCCACGTCACCTTCGGTGCCGGGCGTCCCCTCAGGGGCACGTAGAGCCTCATGGTGACGCCGGCTCGAAGAACCAAAACCTTTCTGAGGTCGGCGTCCAGCTCAGCTTCAGGAGCGACTGGAGGACAGACAGAGGATTGCTTGATAATCAAACCTTTACTATTAAATCATTAGTTATATTCTTTATTCAATCTGACAATGTGTTGTTATCTGTTTTCTCAGTCTTTTAGCAGGAAGTGACTTTACAAGGCTGCTGCGTTAGCTAGCAGATAGTTAGCATACGTTAATCAAGTTCACCAAAACTATTATTCCTGAAAATATACGATTTATGCGAAAGCTGATTGACTGAAATGAGTGATGATGCACTATGAAATATCCTGATATAGGAAATGAACCACTGAGGTAGATTTCTATGAAGCTAAACGTTTCTTGTCCCGGTTCACCTCACAGGACGTGTTAACAAGAGAAAGCAAGGGGATAGTCTATGTTTATTCATTTAACCCTTTGTGGATCACTTTTAAAATGATTCTCTAATGTCCTGAGAGGACATCAAATCATACATCAATAGTATTTTTCACTTTCACAGCATACATTTTTTAACCAACGTTTTAGTCCTGATCACAGCTACCAAATATTCATTCATCCATTTTCAGAGTTTTAACCCAATAAAAAGTTGTTTTTATAACAAAAAACAACAACGCAAAATGTAATTCTTTTCTGTATGCTGTGGAACAGTCTGGGATAAATCAATGATTAGCAACACACAGAGTCTCTGACTGTGTTTGATGACACTAGCTATCAAACGAGACACCCTGCACAGCTAGGAGGTCTTAATAAGCTTTTGTCTGCTTATTTGATTACATGATTCTCTCAATGATGTCAAAGTGAAAGTACTTGATTTAGAGGACTTCATGGTACGAGGGTATTAAATAAAATAAAGTAAAACAATCAGTTGAGGGACGTACTCAGGATGTCCTTGGCCATGTGGTTTCCAGGGACCTCGCTGGGTTCGCTGAAGCCGATCTTGTTGACGGCGATGACTCTGAACTGGTACTCGGCGTCGTCCATCAGGCCCGTCATCACGAACTTGGTGGCCTTGAGCTTTTTCGGGATGTTGCACTTGGTCCAGTGCTCAGCGTCGACCCGCTTGCACTCGACCAGGTAGCCTATGATTTCACAGCCTCCGTCGTACGCTGGTTTGGTCCAGCTAAGGCTGATGGAGCTCCTGGTGGAGTCCACCATCTTGGGGAACGCAGGTGGGCCGGGAGGATCTGGAGGATTATAGCAACCCGTTTGTTATTATTCTCACATTTATTGAACAACATTTCTTTTGATGAGCCATCCGCTGTCTATTTGAACTTACAGACGGGGTCGACAGCCAGTGCAGCGTTGGACGCGTCACTGGGTTTGCCCAGACCGGCCTTGTTCATGGCGATGACTCTGAACTCGTACTCGGAGCCCTCGGTCAGCTGAATGGCCTTGATGGTCCTGTCGATGACCGGCCGGCGGTTGACCTTAGCCCAGGTCAGCTCAGTGGCCTCACGTTTCTCCACCATGTAGCCGAGGATGGTGGCCTTGCCGTCGTTGGCTGGGGCCTTCCAGCTCACTGTCATGGAGTCCTTAGTAATGTTGGTGATGACCGGTGGCTCAGATGGACCGGGAACATCTGAAGGAAGGAGACAAGGTCATGACCATTAGAGTTTGAGTTTGTCTCATCTCACCAACAAGCAAAATGTGCTGCCTTGAAAATCTGAACTCAGAAAAATTGCCCACACTAGATTGTTAGATGACAAATGAAGAGAAGTCTTCAGAAGAGATGTTCATTAAATCATACTTGACACATGATTGTTATCATGCATTTGCAGAGACAAGTTATATTAGTCCGTAATGTTTGTAATTCACTGTATTTGGTACTTTTCAAATAGACCTCTGACTCCAGTGGCCATAGCTATAGTGGTCTGGACGTACCATACGGGTTCTTGACCATGACGGGGTCGGTCGCAATGTGGTCTCCCGTGCCGTACTGGTTCTCAGCACTGACTCTGAACTCGTACTCGTGGCCCTCAATGAGTTTCTCCACCAAGCAGTCGGTGACGTGTCCATGGATGTTGGCGGAGACCAGCGCCCAGTTGGCCCTGCTGGTCTCACGCTTCTCGATAATGTAGTTGATGATCTCAGAGCCGCCATCTGCAAGCGGGGGCTCCCATCGCACCTTCACACGGTCAGCAAACACCTTAGCAATTTTCACTGAGGCTGGAGGGCCTGGTTTGTCTGCAGGGGAAAGAGTCGGAGATTAGCTTCTTTGTTTATCTGTACACATAAAATACTTGCTCAGACAAAATACCATATTAATATAATATTAAATCTGACTTACCGAGCACCTTGACCTTGATGCTGGCGTACTTAGAGCCATTGATGTTCTCAGCGATGATGGTGTAGTCTCCAGACTCCTTCCTGGTGACGGCAAAGAGCTCCAGCAGGTGGACATGTTTCTTCTGGACCATCTTCATTCCCTCAACGAGTACCAGAGGCACTCCGTCTCTCTTCCAGCTCACCTTCGGCAGCGGCTTGCCGAACACCTCGGCATCCAGAGAGATGTTCTCTCCGGCCTTCACCACAATCAGGTTATTCATGTTGACGCCCAGTTCAACACGAGGAGGAACTGCACAGGAGAAGAAGAGAGAACAGTCATCATCATATGTCAATCATTTTATTTCTCATTCAGTTGTCCTTGCTGTGTGGAGGTGTACCGTTCTGTGCAATGACAGCGATGGGGTCGGACAGCTCGGACGGCAGGCTGACGTTGATGGCGGTCTTGGCGATGACTCTGAACTGGTACTGCTGGCCTTCGTCCAGCCCGCTCACCACATAGATCTCCGTCTGGATGTTCATGCAGTTAGCGTTGCAACGCGTCCACTTCTCTTCTGGAAGCTTTGTATACTCCATGTAGTAGCCAATCAACTTGCTGCCTCCGTCATTCTTGGGGCGGCTCCAGACCAATGAGACCGAGTGTTTGGTCACATCCATGGCCTCGGGTTTGCCTGGTGGGTCTGAATGGAAAGAAACAAAGAGTCGTTGACTCAGTTATGCTGTCTGAACAAAGAAGAAGGTTGAGTGAACAAGAACCTGGTAAGATCTCTGGAAATAAGATGTAATATTTAGGCCTTTCAAGATAAAAGAGGCTCTTTCACTCTTTTAAGTAACTGGTTAAGAAAAATAACAACAAACAAAACACAATTTTAGTAGTTATGCTCCCATGGAAGTGGAATCTGTAATTTTGCTTTCCTATTTTATCATGTTACAAATATATCATGTTGAAATCAATCGTACCAATATCAGTCCTAGCGGTGATCAAGTCTGTCTGTTTGCAGGGTTTGCCCTGTCCAGCCAGGTTGAGTGCTGACACCCTGAAGGTGTACTCCACGCCCTCCATCAGGCCAGTGCAGGTGTACTGGGTGGCTTTGACCAAGGACTCATTGGCCTTCACCCACAGAAGGCTGTTCCTCTCCTTCTTCTCAATGCAAAATCCAGTGATGGGGGAGCCTCCGTCGCTGCTGGGACGCTCCCATGACAGGATGACGAATTCCTTGTTGACTTTGTTGATGTGCAGGTTTCTGGGTTCGCTGGGAGGATCTTTGGGCAAAAAAACCCAATTGTTAGTACATAGTGTCATTGCTGTAATATCGATTACAAGTAATGTTTTGGCTCGCACTCACCAAATGGATGTCTGGCAATCATCTTCTCAGAGTAGATGGGCGCAGAGACGCCAAACCTGTTCTCAGCACGGACTCGGAAGCCATACTCTTTGCCATTTGTCAGTTTGGTCACTCTACAGCTGGTTTTGGTGCAGGATGTGCTTATGGGGACCCAGTCGCCCTGGCTGACGTCACACTTCTCCACAATATAGTTGGTGATGTTGCTGCCGCCATCCTCCTGTGGGGAGTTCCAGAGGAGCATGCAGGCATCAATGTCCTGTTCGGTGATCTCCAGAGGAGCTTCAGGGGGTCCAGGGATGTCTGCAGTGACCCAGAGGAAGAGTTATTAATGTAAACAAACACACCTGTTATTCATCAGTCACATTGTAAGTATCATCTGTATCTTTTCAGTTTAGAACCAGCAGCTTTAGCAGCATCTGTTGTTCAAACTGACCCATGACGGTGACTTTGAGGATCTGGTTGATCCTGCCGGTGCTGTTCTCAGCAGACAGGCTGTAGTAGCCGCTGTCGTTTCTCTTCACATTCTTTATGATAAGCGTGCAGGTCGTCAGTGTCTTTACGACCAACAGGCGGTCGGAGGTCAGCACGTCCTCGTTGCCCTGTTTCCACTTGCAGTAGGGAGAGGGTTTACCTGCCACAAGGGCCTCAACCACCAGCTTGGATCCAGCTCTCACCATCACAATGTCGGGCATGATGACCTTAGGAGCCACTGGGAGACAAGAAACACCAAAAGTTACTTCAAGTTGAATGTTTGCGTGATTGGGTAAGACTAGTCTGAGGTAAATGTTTAGGTCTACTCACTGAGCTGCTCCTTGACCTCAAACACTCCCTCTGCCTCTCTGGCCAGACTGACTCCCACTGAGTTCCTGGCTGCCACTCTGAACTTGTATTTCGTTCCTTCCTTCAGACCGACCACCACGATGGTCATGTCTTTGACCACAGAGTACGGTGTCCACTTGTGCTCGGGAGCACCGTCCTCCTGGTAGTCCACCACATAACCGTTGATTTTGGCTCCTCCGTCTCGGAGTGGCTTCAGCCAGCCTAACGTGGCACTATTCTTGGTAATCTCCAACACGTCCATTTTCTTCGGAGGGTCCGGCTCACCTGAATGCGACACAAAGCGGGTGTTAGGAAGAATACAAAAATGAACAAACAACAGAGGAACTCGTGGTTTTGACATGCTAATCCTTGTTCACACAGTCTGTGGTGACACTCACTGATTGGGTCAACAGCCAGGTAGGACTTGGGCGAATCCTGAGGAACTCCGATGCCATACTTGTTGCAGGCTGTGACTCTGAAGTAGTACTCGATGCCAGGCGCCATGTTGGTCACCTTGAAGCTGGTCTTCTTAAGCTCCTCTGTGCACTTGTTCCAGGTCTTCCTATCCACCTCCCGTTTCTCCACAATGTAGTTGATGATGGGGCTACCACCATCATTATCTGGCGGCAACCAGGACAGCTGAGCTGACGTCTTGGTGATGTTGGTTGCCTCGAGGCCGCCAACGGGACCAGGAGTATCTGCAGAGGACGAATTTAGGAATTACTTTGAGCATACAGTTTCCTTAAAGGCAAGTGCTGTAAACATGTAGTTTGTCATTATTATTATGTTTCTCACCGAGGACTTTGACGCGGACATACACAGCTTTCTCTCCAGATGAATTAGACAGAGACAGACAGTATCTCCCAGAATCCTCTCTGGTGCTCTCAGGGATGACCAGGAAGGACATGGTGTCAACCTGGTCCACATGACCTCGGCGGATCACACTGTCCACACCCACGCGCTTCCAGATAACCTTGGGGGCAGGCCTTCCTCTGATCACAGCGAAAAGCCTGATTGGACAGCCGGCCCTAACAGACAGGCCTTTCCTCAGACTGGCGTCCAGGTCAATCTCTGGAGCCTCTGTTGCCATGGAAACAAATTGATGTAAAGATTATTAGTGAACATTTACCATGTTGTGTAATACAATGGCAAGCACAGCCTCTGTTGGCTTTAGTAGTCGTTCATTCTTACCCAGGACCTCCTTGGGAGAGACGGCCTCCTTCAAGTAGGCGTGACGTCCCCAGCCCACCTGGTTTTGGGCGGACACCTTGAAGTTGTACTCCTGCTTCTCATCCAGCTGGCCGATGGTGAATTCTGTGTACACCAATGGGCCATGGGTGTCAATTCTCTTCCAGCCCTCTGTGGGCTTCTCAGGGTCTGCCTCACTTTTCAGCCTCATGTCCAGGCTGTAGTTGATGATGGGGGCACCACCATCATACACAGGTTTAGACCAGGACAGGGTGATAGAGGTCTTGGTGCTATCGCCCACCTTCAGGCCTGCAGGGGGGCCAGGGGGCTCTGTAGGAAGAGACAGTAACTCAAAGTTCAATAAAAAATACTTAAACCTGAAGACACAAGTGAGAGGCCTTTCAAGTCCATCTTGAACATGTTAAGCTTCGTGTGGTTTACATGTTATCTGATCTGAGCTCAAATCTCAAGAACATTTTTGAAGACGTATACTGAACTGTGACAGCAACTGCACACTCACCGATGGGATCTTTAGCTGCAACGGGTCTGCAGGGTTTGCTGGGTTCTCCCAGGCCGACCTCGTTCTCAGCCTTCACCCTGAACTGGTATTCGTGGTTGGGAATCAGGTTGGTGACTTTCATGCGTCTCTCAATGATGGGGCTCTTGGTGCATGGCACCCAGCGCACTGCCCTCTTCTCCTTCCTCTCCAAGATGTAGCCGGTGATCGACTTTCCTCCGTCATTCTCAGGAGGAGCCCAGACAACGGTCATCTCATCTTTACTCACCTGCATCACAAAAGTATCAACAGTGTGACTACAGCTAGGTTGTTTACTACTACTGGACAAGATACCAGGCTGAAATATGTTTCACGTGTGCCAAATTTAGGAAACTCCTTAATACAGGGAGTCTTTTACTTACCTTGGTGACGTCAGGAACGTCAGGGGGTCCAGGTTTGTTGAACTGAGTCTTGACAGTGACAGGCTTGCTATCCATGGCGGGGCCGGTTCCCATCTTGTTCTCAGCCCTTACTCTGAAGATGTACTCGTTCCCCTCCATCAGACGGATGACGTTGCAATATGGTGTCACCACAGAGGCTGAGTACGTGGACCAGACCATCCTCCTGGTCTCGCATTTCTCTAGAATGTAGCTGTCTACTTCACAACCTCCATCGTCCTCCGGAGCGTCCCACACCACTCTGCATTTGTCAGCCCCAATGCCGATGATTCTGAGGTTCCTCACTAGGCCGGGAACGTCCAGGACATTAACGTTGGCGTATGCCGTGAAGGTGCCGGCCGAGTTGGTGGCAGTGATGATAAACTTTCCAGTGTCACTGCGTCTGGACTTGGTCAAAAGGAACTTAGAGTAGTCGGGCCCAGTCTCATAGCTGATTCTTGGGTTGTCTCCGACAGCCTTGTCTTTCGTCCATTTGACCTCAGGCTGGGGCTTTCCTCTCAGCCCGGCCTCCATTCTCACCGACTCTCCGGCCTTCACTGTCAGAACTCCGGTCAGCTTCAGGTCAAGGACGGGCTTCTGGATCTCCTCCCTCACAATAATATCGGCAAGCTTCACCCAAGCACTCTCACCTCCTTCATTGACAGTCTGCACCCTGGATAACAAATGATAATAATTACTAGGTATTATTATTAAGTAGTTTACATTAGTTTGTGCATTACTCAAAAAACACCATTTCTGAGCCTTGAAACACTCTGTAAAACAAACTGTTTGAACTGTTAAAGTAAGAACGTAGTAACTTACCTGAAGGTGTACGTCTGGTTCTCCACGCACTTGTCAGCCAGGAAAAAGGTGTCTTTGAGATTACCGGTGCTTAGTTTCACCCACTCCTCTGCATCTTTGACTTTGCACTCCAAGTTATAGGAGATGTTGGGACTGCCGCCATCGTAGTCAGGCTTCCTCCATCTCAGATAGACGTGGTTCTTACCAACGTCAGTGGCTCTGAAGTTCTCAGGCTCACCGGGCTTCTCAATGGGGTCGATGGCCAGCAGAGGGGTCTTGGTGTCCACACATGGTCCCGGGCCCATCTTGTTCACAGCACAGACGCGGAACAGGTACTCATGGCCTTCCATCATCTTAGCCTTGATCTTACGATTGGTGCACTGGGAGGTGATCATAGACCACATGCTAATGCTGGGCTCACGGCACTCCACAATGTAGTTGGTGATCTCGGATCCACCATTATCTTTAGGGGCCTCCCAGTTGAGCATACATGAGTCCCTGGTGGCATAGGTTGTGTGCAGGTTCTGGCAGTGGCTGGGTCTGTCTAGCACATTTACTGTGATGGTGCAAGAGGCCTCGCCGCCCTCATTTGAAACCTTCAGGATATATTTGCCATGGTCATCTCTTGTGGCCTCCTTGATCTTCAGGTGGACCACAGGGAAGTTCTGAATGATGGTGAGACGTTTGCTGTTCTCCTGAACTGTCTCTCCCTTTGACCAAAGCACTTCTGGGTCAGGCCGGGCCTTGATGTACCCGATGATGTTGATGTTGTGTCCAACCCGCACGGTAAGGTGATCGCGGCAAGTGACATCCATCTCTATCTCTGGAGGGATCAGGATATCCTGAGCAGTAATGGATTCCGGGATTTCTCTGGGCTCTCCATCTCCGATCATGTTTGAGGCATAGACTCTGAATCTGTATGTCACGCCCTCCTCCAGACCCTTCACCCTGTAGGCACACTGCTTGATGAAGTCATCCAGGTTCACCTTTTTCCATTCTTCAGTATCTGCCTTCTTCATTTCCACAGTGTAGCCCAGGATGGGAATGCCTCCGTCTTTGTTGGGTTTAGTCCACACCAGGTCAGCGGTGGTCTTGCTGTAATCTCTAACTTTGGGGTTGACAGGAGGGCTGGGGACAGTGATGGGCCTGCAGGGCTTGCAGGGGTCAGAGGTGAGAGACGGGCTGCTGTAGCCAACAATATTCTCAGCAAACACTCTGAACTCGTACTCATTGCCCTCAAACAGTCCCAGGACTCTGTACCTCAGGTCCTTACATGGTGTCTTGTTGACGCGGATCCATTTTCCTCCCTTGTGTCGGCGCTCAATGATGTAGCCGGTGATCTGGCTGCCTCCATCAGACAGGGGCATGGTCCAGCCGACTGTAACAGAATCCTCTGAGATATCAGAGGACTGTGGCTTACCAGGCTGGCTGGGCGGCAAAAAGGAGTGTTCGGCAACAGTGGGCTTGCTTTCCAGAGGAGCGCCAATGCCCATCTTGTTTTCAGCACGAATGCGAACCACATACTCCACTCCCCTCTGGAGGCGGCTGATGTTGAGCTTGGTGGCAAGGCCGACTGCGCCCACACCTCCCCAGGTCTCCTTTTTGGACTCTCGCTTCTCCACGATGTAGTTGGTGACAGGGCTACCGCCGTCGTCCTTTGGAGGACGCCATTCAATCATCATGGAGTCCGGAGTGACCTCAAGGATGTTGGCAGGTCCAATGGGAGCAGCGGGAACATCCAGGACAGTGACGTTCAAGCCCACCGTCTTGGATCCAGCTGGGTTGGACACAGTGAGCAGGTAGGTGCCCGTGTGGTTCCTGGTGCACTCATTAATGCTGAGCACAGTGGAGAAGTTGTCAGTTTCAACCTTGACGTTAGCCTCGCTAGTGATCTCCTCTCCTTCGATGGACCACTTGGGAGTGGGAATGGGTATTCCTCTCATGATGGCTGGCAGCCTGATGGTGGTGCCGGCTTTTACGGTGATGCCTTCAATGAGCTTGACGTCCACCTCGACAACTGGAAGCACTGTGGACATACAGACAGAGGAGGTTACCCCATGCTACTATACTCAAGTTCAAAAACGATGAAATATTCAATGTTAACGACCAACAGTTTACCAAATACAGATGCAACTATGGCATTTCTCTGCCTTGAACACAAACATTGTTGATGCCAAATACCAATTCAAGGCACATTAGTTTGCTGATGTTGACAATAATAAGAACTAAATCTGCACCAATATTGGTGAACCTCTCATTTGAAATTAGGAAAACAGTGAAATTCTCCATTTATAAATGTATTATATATGATCCAGCATAAAATTCATCTGATAGAGGTGATATAGAGTGCTGGGGTTTTGTCCTGTATCTCACCCAGTTTTTCCTGGCAGAGGATAGGCACAGTGGTGTCAGGTCTGCTGAGGCCAATGGCGTTCTCAGCCCTCACTCTGAAACGGTAGGTCTTTCCTTCCTCAAGGCCAGTCACATGACTCTCTGGGATGCTAACAACCTTCCACTCGTCCCAGTCCTTCACTCCCTCTTCCTGATACTCCACCAGGAAGCCTGTGATTGCACTTCCCCCGTTGCGGTCGGGCCAGTTCCAGACCAACCACACCTCAGTCTTATCCACATCATCATGGTGCAGGTCTTTAGGCGGACCAGGAGGGACTGGAGGGATGGAAGAAAAAACAATTAGGTTTGAATGGTGAATTTCAGCATTCATGAGATTGAATCACAACATTTTTTTTCTTTTTTAATAACAAATACTTTGGAGAAGGACAGACCACTGAAAATGTTGGCACCAAATCTCTGAAAATACTTTTAGCCAGTAACAAACCCAATTATGAGTCTTAAAACAGTGTCGATGTTGTTCTGTGATATGATAGTAGCATTAACTTTGAGTATTTTTGTTGTATTTATTTATTGTTTTAAAAGACTCTGTGATCTAATCTCAGTACAATATAATACTCAATAATCTGCTGATCAAGTGTTAACTGTGCTGTTACTCACAGAGTGGGTTCATTGCCTTGATGGCCTTTCGCGTCTCGACGTATTCGCTGCGGCCGTACTGGTTCTCAGCAGCGACTCTGAACTGGTAGGATGTGCCCTCTATCAGGTGCTTCAGCGTCATGCTGCGTTTCTTGGACGTGGAGCAGACAGGGACCCACTGAGTTGATGCAACGTCTTTCTTCTCCACCACAAAGTTAGTGATGCGAACACCGCCGTTGTCCTCTGGGTCCTTCCAGGACAGGTAGGCAGAGTCACTCCGGATGTCAGACACCCGGAGGTGCTGGATGGGACCAGGTTTGTCTAAAAAAAACAAAAACATATAAGGAACGTCACAAAACTGTCTTAACTTTACATTCAATTCAATATCTGGTACATTACTGCCACAGACAAGGACAGGGGCAGACTGCAGCGTATCATTTGCTCTCCTTAGAGGGTGATTAACTGAAATCTGCCGTCCCACCAGGACCTGTGCGCCTCCAGGACACTGAGGCAGGCACGGAAGATAGTGGTGGACCCTCTTTGATCTCTTTGAACCACTCCCCTCATGCCACAAATCATGTTTCTTCCCGACTGGATCAACAAGGCCCGGGCATCCATATTTCTCTTTTTATCGTAATGTTTTTCCTTTTATGTTCTTGACGTTTGCAGTACTTTGCCTGTATATTTATTTGCACTTAATACATGTATGCAGTAGACACCAAGGCAGAATCCTTGTAGGTGAATAACACACTTGGCAATAAACCTTATTTTGAAAATGACATAAATATATTAGAGTGAAGATTGACTATCCTCCCCAAACTGTTCAGAGCAAACACATACAGAAGTGCTGAATAACACTCATGTACTCAAGCTAAAAACCTTTGATCCATTCCTTACCGAATACCAGCACAGTGCAGATGGCGGTCTTGGATCCAGCTGGGTTCTCCACAGTTAGGGTGTAGTCTCCACAGTCGCCACGGTTACAGAACCTCATCTCCAGCTTGGTGCCCGTCTGGCTGGTCTCAATGTCGGCCCTGGTGGGCACCTCGGCCTCGTTCTTCTGCCAGGCGACGGTGGGGAACGGGACACCATTGATGGTGGCCATCAGAGTGATGTGAGTGCCGCACATGGCCTTCACCTCTCGGGTCATTGCAGCATCAAGAATCAGCTCTGGGGGCTCTGGGGGGACGAACACAGTAATATCACATTGGTACACAGCGTTTCTTAAACCAGCGTTGGTTCAAATAGGACTCAACCACAGTTATGCCAACTCACCAAGTCTGTCTTGCACTTTGATTGGCTCCTTCAAGTTAGTTGGGTCGGACTCTCCGGCAGCGTTGACCGCCACGACTCTGAATCGGTACATAACACCATCGTCCAGGTTGATCACCTTAAACTTGGTCTCCTGGCAGGACTCTGGAGTCTGGTTCACCTGAGGACAGCGGCAGGACAAGAGTTCAATATCACAAAGGTCACGGTGTCCTTAAACCAAACGGGTAAATCCTCTAGGCAGCAAGTTCATAGTAATTGGACCTGCACCTCACCTTGGACCACTCCTCCTCTCCAGACTTCTGGAACTCCAGCAGGTATCCGAAGATCTTTCCTCTGCCGGTGTCGCTGGGCGGCTGCCAGGACAGACTCACCGATTCCTTGGTGAAGTCGATGGCCTGGAAGTTCACCGGTGGACCGGGTTTCACTGTTGCAAAGGACACGGAGGAATTCTTGTTGTGAGTGGGATACAGTAACAGCAATAAGATGAAGTGTTGTTGTCAAGAGGGGGATTTACCTATGGGGTCTTTGGCGAATACGGGTTTGGACGGTGGGCTCGGGTCTCCGGCTCCCACGATGTTCTCAGCGCTGACTCTGAACTCGTACTCGCAGCCCTGCAGCAGCTCCGTCACCCAGTATTCCACCTTGGGATGGATTCTCTCCGTGTTGCAGCGAACCCACCTGAAAAGGAAGCATGTTGAGATTTTATTCTGCAGCCTTACCGTTTCATATTTTATGGGGTTTGTAAGGAGGAAACAAAAGCTGGAATCTTTTGACCATGTTCAACACAATCTTCTCCAATGTGAGCATTTGCAGCTGTTCTCTGTTTTATATCTTTGTAAACTGAATCTCTTTGGGTTTTGGACTGTCGGTCGTACCAAACAAGATATTGGAAGACTTTACTTTCCTGACTTGTTTCAATTGATTAATCAGCAATTTTAACAGATTACTTGGTAACACAAATACTCCATTAAAATATGCCAATGACACCCAACAGTTTAGTGGTGATCAGGTCACGACCTTTGACATGTTTCAGACGAAAAGAGGTTTAGCCTCAATGGTTGCTTTCAAAAATAAGTAAAGAAGTGAAACTTTAACCTCTTAATATCCAACTGTTGCTGGTGGGCTCGGGGTGAATGATTGATTTTGAATGATGGTGTCAGGGTTCGGTTTATTTTTGTAAAGTTAGGGTTTAAAAGGTTATGAGTTTCTTGTCCTGTGATGTGGACACAGAAAGACTAACACTGGGGGCATTCCTTTACCCTCCAAAACCACAAAGGTTTCTAATGCCGTGTGGTCTGTGTACCTGTGGGCCATGGTCTCCTTCCTCTCCACGATGTAGCCTGTGATTGGTTTCCCTCCGTCAGCAGGAGGTTCCCAGCTGATGAGGGCGGAGTCGTGGTAGACCTCCTTCACTGTGGGCTGTTTAGGAGCGTCGGGCACCTCTGCAAAGGAAACAAAGTCCCACAGATCAGACACACTACGGGATTCGTCATCCTCCACATGGTCTTGAATGTTTCCTGTTTGCAGGTCTGACTTACTGAAGATGTCCCTGGCCTTGGACTCTGCAGACAGAAGAGGCTCGCTGACGCCGAAGATGTTTTCAGCCATGATCCTGATGATGTACTCGCGACCCTTGATCAGCTTCGGCACCTGAAGCAATTGACAGCGGGAGTCAGTTCTGAGGGTGGCTGCATGTGTTTAGACAACATTTCAGAACTCTTCTGTTAATTTGAATGTTAAATGTTTTATTTCCATATATGTATTGCAATGACCCCATCTACTTCATCTAGCCTCATTGTCTGTGTAGAGAATAAATCGTAATACTAAATGAAACCATTGTCCGTTGGATTTTTATTCATTTCTATCTCTAAGATCAACATGTGGAACGTGATCTGTGTTCCAGTTGATTCTTTGAGGTTATTGATAAATTGTTGACAGCTATAACAAGAAAGAATTGTACATTTTTCCTTCACTAATCATTTCTTTTTGTCTGTAATTGTCATTCGCTCATCTTCTCTGTAACATAATTGGTCTATCGTACCTCGAGGTTGTAGGAAAGGTCTTTGTGTTGGTATATATGTGTATCTGTATATGTTATCGTTGTACTTTTATGTGGACACAAATACAATAAAATGAAGAATGGACCAAAACCCGGCTTTTTAGTGCATCACAAACAGCACTGATGTATATTAGACTTCATATCTCAGGTTTTGGTGACAGATATCAGCTGTTGGCTGAGTGTCTTTTCTTGTTGATCGTTTAATTAGTTAAAACTTTGTTAAATCTTTTCCTTCGAGCACTTCAGCAACGATCCGCCCACCTTGCAGGTGGTCCTGGTGCAGGACGAGGTGACAGGCATCCAGAGGTCTCTGTTGGTGTCTCTCTTCTCGATGATGTAGTTGGAGACGGCACAGCCTCCGTCATCCAGAGGAGGGTTCCATGAGATCACCATGTAGTTCGTGTAGACCTCGTTGAACACCACAGGGCCCTCCGGAGGCTGAGGACGGTCTGACAGGAGGAAGAATTCATACAGGTGAGTCATTCATGCGGATTGGCTTTTTAAAATCTGCAATATGGACATGCCAACCAGCTCAGAGCTCTGTGTTTCCTAACTCTCACATCCTGCATTTCTAGTCTGCATCTTGTTACTGGGTCCAGTTCTTTCTTTCCCTCCAATGTTAGAATCTGATAATCCCGTTCTTTCTATCTCTATATGCTTCAAGCAGCGACTCACCAACCACGGTGATGGTGCAGATTCCTGTGCGAGTTCCGGCGGCGTTCTCCACGCTGACGCAGTAGCGTCCGCTGTGTTCCCTCTTGGCCTTGCTGATGTTGAGGCTGAGGTGGCGCGCGGTGCTGTGCAGGGCGATCTCGTCGTCTGCTTTCAGCTCCTCGTCGTTCTTCGTCCAGGCGACAGCCGGGGCCGGTTTGCCGCTGTAGCGTCCCGACAGCGTGCAAGTGTCTCCAACCTTCACCATCATCTTGTCCCTGAAGTCCAGGTCCAGGGTGGGTGGTTCTGAAGGGGGACACATTGCAATGGTAAGGTTTGTTATGGCCTATATTTTCTGTATCGCAGCATCTTGAGTTTTTCATCAAATAACAAAATGTTGTGGCGTCACTCACCGAGCTCATCCTTGCACTGGACCGGTTTGGTGGTGAAAGATGGTTTTCCCTGTCCCACCTGGTTGATGGCAGAGACTCTGAACTCGTGGCTAGAGCCGTCCTTAAGCCCCGTCAGCGTGAACTTCCTGTCCATCAGTTTGGTGTCTCCGCCTACTCGCGTGAAGCTGTCCCAGCCGATCTTGCGGGTCTCGAGGACGTACTCGGTCACCTCGGCGCCGCCATCGTACTTGGGCGCTCTCCAGGTAACTGAGAGGGAGTCCTTGGTAACGGCGGTGATGAACAGGTCCTCTGGACGCTCCGGGACGGCTGGAGGACACAAACACGTGAGACGTATTAAAGGACATAGTAGGAATTACTTTCTGTTTTCATCTAAAGTCTGTATTTTAGGTTCGAGCAGGACATTTTTAATTATGTCGGTAATTATGTCAAAATTTACATTATGTTACTTTTTTTTACGAGTTCCATAGTTTTAAATAAATGTCCAGAAAGTAACTGATATTTAGATCAAAATTCATTAATTTAAAGGAAAATAGACACAGTGTTGAGTAGGTAAACAAACTAGAGAATATAGTTTTCAAACAAAAAATATTAAGATTTACTTTTGGAAGTTTTATCTCAAATGACTCAAATGACTGAGTATTTTAGAAAAACTTCTACATTTTGCACAGACACTTTCGCAGCTCTTTACTGTGGTGCCTTAGTAGGTAGTAGGGGAGATTTAAGTCGTTTTCTTATGAATAGGCCAAATTTACAGGTTCAACGTCTCCTCAAATTTGGGATTGCTGGAGATAATACGGTGATTCTGGGCTATAAATCCCAGTATTTCCTTATTGATGAATGTATGCTCCTTTCATTCAGACGTTTCAGGTTGTTTAGTGTCAGACTTACAGATGGGGTCCTTGATGAGAACCATCTTGTCGGTCTCGATGAACGGTCCCATGCCGATGATGTTCTCGGCCGCGATCCTGAAGAAGTAGCCCTTGCCGTCGAGGAGTCCCTGCACCACGGCGTTGTTCCTCGTCACCGTGTAGGACACCGAGGTCCAGCCCATGCGATCCGACACTCTCTTCTCGATGATGTAGTTGGTGATCGCCGAGCCGCCGTCGTCCTCGGGGGAGTACCAGGTCAGCTTGCAAGAGTCGTTGGTCAGATTCTCGCCGGCAAAGGGAAGGCCGACCGGTCCTGGGACGTCTGGAGGGAGCGGACAGGAATGTCAGGCATCTTGTTACCCTGCTTCAGCTGACTCATCATAAACACAGAAACATTTCTGGTAAACCGGACTCACCCAGGACCTCCACGATAACGGCCTTCTTCCTCTCTCCTCCCTCGTTCTTGGCGCTCAGCGTGTAGATGCCCTGGTGTTGGCGTCTGCAGTTCTTGATGACCAGTGAGTTTGAGATACCCGTCGTCTCCACCACAGCCTCTTTGGGCACCTCGGCGTCGTCCCGGCACCAGGAGATCTGGGGGGCAGGTTTACCGGACACGTAGGCGATGATGCGGATGGTGCCGCCGGCGTGGACCACGATCTTCTCCTTCACCGAGGCGTCCAGGTCCATCTCAGGAGGAACTGGAATGGAGGGAAGGTGACGTTTTTTATTTAATAAAAATAGTTTTATCACCAGAAACATTGGACAGTGTCCACGGTTCAGTATCAGGCAGATCAGATCTTTACTTGTTCTGTCTTTGACCTCGATCAGCTCAGAAACGAGTCCCGGTTCTCCGACTCCGGCCGCGTTCACAGCTCGGACTCTGAAGCGGTACAGACCGCCTTCCTTCAGACCGGCCACCACGAACTTGGTTCCTCTGATCTCGGTGTCCTTCGCCTGCAGAGAGACGAGAGGAAAATCAGAAAGTCAACAACAATCCCTCAATCCCTAAAACAGGAAAGCAAAAACCCACGAGGCTCCTGGACTCAGAGAAGCAGGTAAAACTCATGACTGATTATTTATTCTTCTCTCTCTGAATGCTCACATATTGTCTTTGTCAGATTCATCAACTTTAGTGGGAACATACGATGTCTGCTGCCTTTGTTCAACTAGAGATAAGAGGTAGGTCTTTGTACTTTTAGTACATATGGTTATTTTACATATTTCTGATATATCACAATAATATGTGACATCATTTCAAGAAGAATTTGTAAAAATCAAATCTCTTTCTCCCTCATTGGAAAATGTAGACTCCATAAATATTGTTCCACATCACAGTGTACGTTTCATACTGGACCCTGATTGGCTCCAAACCAGTAGTGATGTCATTAATTCTGCAGGTACGTCCAGGTGTTAAACAGAGATTTAAGGAGAGTCTGATCACACACATGGATCAGACGTTTATTTCTTCGGTGGGCTCGACCTCACTGACCTTCTTCCAGGTCTCCTCGCTCTCTGGCTCCTTCTCCTCCTCGTCGCCGCTCAGCAGCAGCCTCCTCTGAACCTTCTTCTCCTCCTCCTCTTTGTTCACCTCCTTGAACTCGGCGATGTAGCCCGTGACCTTCGACCCTCCGTCCACAGCGGGGGGGATCCACTCCAGATCCACGGTGGACTTCGTCCAGTCCGTCACCTTCGGAATGGGCGGCCCGGGAGGCTCTGCCGATGCACACATACACTCGTATTATCAAAAACAAACTTCACTTACATGAGCTTTGATCCTTTTTCTTACTTTTGAATCATTTTCCAGAATCAACAAATGTCTCTAATGAGTTTAAAGTTAAATAAGTTCAGTTCAAATCTTTAATTGTGACTGATCCACTGACTGTCACGTCCTCTAAAGCAGTGAGCAGCGTTCTTACTGATGGGGTCTCTGCAGAGGACGGGGTCAGAGGGCACGCTGGGCAGACCACAGCCGGCGGCGTTGGCGGCAATGACCCTGAACTGGTACATGGCGCCCTCCTGCAGGCCGGCGACGTCCCAGTTGTTGCCCAGAGGCACAGCTCGGATCGGGTCGCGGTTGACGCGGACCCAGCGCTTGGCGGTGGTCTCCTTCTTCTCCACAAAGTAGCCGGTGATGGAGGAGCCGCCGTCGTACTTGGGCTCGTCCCAGTTGGCGGTCATCGACTCCACACAGACGTCCGTTACCGTCGGCTTCTCACACTGACCGGGGACGGCTGCAAGAGGACGGATATCAATCATCAATACATCAGTTAATGGAGACATTTCAGTGTTTAAGGGACAGGTGGACTGTTCTGAACTCACTGAAGAGGTTTCTGGCCTTCTCCTGCTCGCTGGCCAGCGGGGGCCCGACTCCTAACTTGTTCTGGGCCATGACTCTGAACTCATACTCGTGGTTCTCCGTGAGCCGGGTCACCACGTAGGCGCACTCCTTGGGGTCGTTGGAGACGTGGACCCAGGACTTCCTGTTCTCCTCACGCTTCTCAACCACGTAGTTGGTGATCTTGGATCCGCCGTTGTCTTTGGGAGGGTTCCAGGCCAGACCGATCCTCTCCGCGAACACCTCGGTGAACTTGAGTGGTCCGACGGGGGCGCCAGGAGGTCCTGCAGGGGAGGATCAAATTTGTTTAAAAGATCCGAGTATATTTGTTTACAAGATAAACCCCTTCAACCATGATCAATTCAAATCAAATATAAATATAAATATAATCTCATTTATAAATACTGAAATGGTAATAACTTTCTGTTTTTAAGTGGCTCAAGTACAGCTTGCAGTAAAAACGGTAGCAGATTGAATCATCAAATTCATTGTAATATTTGGAAAAATGGATCCTTGCTGTCAGGCCGAAGTAGACAAAAACAGATGTTTTCATCAGCTGTAGCTAGCTAGCTAATTAAGCTAATTGTACTAGAGAACGGTCTTTCAGGATGAGGACTACTCTGTAACTCTGTCTCAGGTAACGTTAGTGGCAGTTTCGTGTAAACGTCCTCAAAATCCAATAAAGACCAGGATAGAGCTGCTAACGTTAGCCGACACTCTGAGAGCATCCACGATGAAATGTTCTACCGTGAAGAATATTCTTTCGCAAAACACGTAACCCCAAAAAATGAAGGGGACTTCCCATTGTTCTGATTCCCCAACCGACGGTTAAGCAACCTTATTGTTCCAAAGTTCCATTTTTCAGACCACTTGGGTTTCAGAATAATGCACCTTTGGATCAATGGCAGGCACCCAAAATTACAGCGTTAGCTAATGATATGCTAAGTCTCGGCTCGAGAAGTAACGCTTCAAAAAAACAACTTTCCCAGCGATAATGAAGCATGTTAAGCGTTAAGCTCCGTGTTTCTCTCACCGAGCACGGCAAGCTTGATGTCCTTGGTGGCGGTGCCCAGGCTGTTGGTGGCCGTCAGGCTGTAGAGGGCGCTGTCGTGCCGGCTGGCCTGTTGGATCAGCAGCGTGCACTTGTCCTGGGTCACCAGTTTGCTGATGTGCTGGTCGTACCGGACGGCGGCCTTCTCCTCAGGTTTGGCCACAGTAGCCTTCTGCCAGGTGAGCGTTGGGAATGGACAGCCGCTCACTTTCGCCACAATGCTGACGTCACAGTCCTCCTCGCCCTCCATGGCGTCACGCAGCACGATGGTGGGAGCGCCTGCAAAATCATGGATGCTTTGAGAAAAAGTGGCCTGCAGAAGGCAACAATCCTGAAAACCTCAAAGTCAATACGTTCTGTCCACAGTGGTCCAACAATATTACACATTTCTAGCTGAATAAGAAGCCTGTGATTGGCTGTCACTCACATGTCTGATCCTTGATGACCAGAGGTCCGGCGGTGGCCGAGGGTCGGCTGGGTCCAGCGTCGTTCACGGCTTTCACTCTGAACTCGTATTCTCCTCCCTGAAAGTTCCAACAACAACAACAGTCAACAGTGGCCTCTTCATCTTTATCTCAGAGATTCACTGAATTAGGTAAACATTATTAGATGCCACAGATCATTGTATCTATATCAGAAGAGTGGAATCTCAGCTTTCATTGGTATTTTTCAGGCAGGAAAATATTAAGTGTCCAATTACTTTTGGAGTTGCTCAGGGTTCTACTTTGGGCCCATTCTGTTTTCCTTGATGCAACAATTGGTCATCTATTTACAGATGTTGTCTTTACTGTCAATTAACAGCTGTAGTTACAGCTGTTAGTTGGTAAACAGACTGCACTTATAAGGCCCTTTTCTACCTTAACAGTCGCCCCAAACATGGTGGTGAAGGTTGGTTGAAGAGATTTTTGTGGGGTCTTTTGTGGGGACATGATTGCTGGATTATCTCTGGAAAAATGTGAATATCTTTTATTCTAATGAGCACTAGAGAATGTGACCAGGGTTCATTTCTAGAGTAACTAGGGAGGTCCTTTATGTAATCTATTAACTCATACAGTGTATTAACTTGTGGAAGTTACTCTATAAAAACAGCTTCAGATTCAGTCAACATTACATTCTCTGATCATCAAGTTCATTTTTACATAAATAAACTTAAACCACTGGCTGTCTGGAAGGAAAACATTGAGCATTAATGGATATAGACCGACCTCCTTCAGGTCCTCCACCATGAAGCTGAGCTCCTCCACCTCCCTCTTGTTGCACTGCTTCCAGGTCTCCTTCTCCTTGCCGCTGGTGTCCCAGCTCAAGCGCTCGATGATGTAATGCTTCACCGGAGAGCCACCGTTGTTTTTGGGAGGCTCCCAGCTCAGAGTCACGGTGTTCTTTGTCACCAGGTTGATCATGACCTTGGTGGGGGGGTCGGGAGGGTCTGGGGGAAGAGAAGAAGAAGAAGAAGAAGAGGAAGAGGATTAGCATTGGAACATTTGCAGTGAGGGCTTCGGGCAGTTCGTGCAGGTCTGTCCTCACAGATGGGGTCTCTGGCCCGGATGGGGTCGGTGGTGGTGGCGAACGGGCTGAATCCAAGTCTGTTCTCAGCTCGGACCCTGAACAGGTAGTCCTGACCCTCCAGCAGACCCGGCACCACGTAGGCCTGGCTGGCACAGGCTGCATTCACCTGATAACAATTCAACCAATCTATCAGTCAATCAATCGTCAAACAGCAGAATTTATGTTGAAGTCAACTGAATAAGTTAAAGAGTTTTCACAACTTATTCTTGAACGTGTGTCCATTCTGACTATAGCTCAGAAAAGAGTGATTCCAGATATGAAATGATACCTATTAAAAGTTTGTTATTACTGCAGATGAGGCTCATGTTGCCGCCCTGATAAACGTTGTTGATTTATGAATCAAAAATTCGAAATGTTATACTTTTTACTTTGTTATAGTCATCTATAGTGGTTAGTTACATAAACAGGAACAATATTGAATTTTTATTTAAATACTTAAAAATTTAACTGAAAACTTAAAGCAAAACAGCTCATAATTCATATTTAATATCTATTTTATTTTAATGCGAAAACATCTTCAAACTAATTTAATTATTCAAGTTTGTACCGACGTAAAATGTGAGCCATGTGCATGTGAGCAGGTCATGGTCCATCAGCTAACATGTTTTCTATTGTTCTCTAAAATAAAGAGTAATCAAAGAAACTTGGCTGTAAATGTAAAAAAGAACCGATAGAAATGAAACTGACTCGACCTAAAATGAAATGGATAAAGTGGACTGAGCAGTGTTCACCTTTGTCCAGGCTTTGTCAGTGACACACTTCTTCTCGATAAAGTAGCTCTTGATTCTCTCTCCTCCGTCGTTGTCGGGGAGTTTCCAGATCACCCTCATGGTCGACCGGGTGATGTCGGTGACCCTCAGCTCCTTCGGAGGTCCGGGGACGTCTGACAAAACGGTGACAAAATCAGAGTCAACACAGAACACAGAACACAGCCGCTCCAACATGCTGTATACAAACAACGTAAGACATACCGAGGACAATGACTCTGACGTTGACGTGTTTCTGTCCGGACTTGTTCTTGGCGGTGATGGTGTAGCGTCCAGAGTGGCTCCTCAGACTGAAGGGGATGGTCACGATAGACGTGGTATCTGTGGACTCAACCTGAATACACAAAAAACAGTTTGACAATCAGACTAAAATCTATAAAACTCACCTTTACAGCAGACGGTGTTCTATAAAGTGTCCAATTACAAATCAAAAACAGCAATATTGTAACATCATTTCAACTTCTTTCTTCATATTAGTTGTTTTTCATTTTTTTCGGGAAATACCAAATTACAGGAAAGAAGTCTAATGATTAATGTCAAATCCTCGTGTCGCCCGTCTCACCTCGGAGTCCACAGGCAGTGTGTGCAGCTTGTTCTTCTTGTGCGACTTGGCTTTGCCGTCAAATTCCCAGGTAACCTTGGGAGCAGGGCGGCCCTTGATGGTGGCGGGGATCCTGATCGGATCTCCGGCACGGATGCACACCAGGTCGTCGACCAATACGTCGATGGAGATGGAAGGAGGTACTGTTGAGAAGGAAACATCGGTGGAAACATCAGTGAAGGACAGAGAGACATAAAACACTTTGTACAGTCATTGTTTGTGACTTTAAAGTGGGACATACGCTGGACGTCCTCAACCAGAACCTCGCCGCTGCGGGGGCTCGGGTCGGACTCGCCGATGTCGTTGACGGCGATGATCCTGAAGCGGTAGCGTTTCAGCTCGCGTAGGCTGGGCATAGTGAACTCCGTGGTGGGGTTGAGGGAGTCTTTGTCGTTGACGCTAACCCACCCTGATGAGCCCTCATCCTGGATCTGGATGATGTAGCCCTTGATGGGGCTTCCTCCATCCCTCTCTGGTGCTTTCCAGGACAGCGTCACACTGTACTTCGTCTTATCGACCACCACAGGAGCAGCGGGCATGCTTGGAGGAGCTGGAGAGGGGAGCAGCAGTTTGTAAAAATAGCATCCAATTTGAGAAAAACCTAATTCATCATCTTTCAAAACACAGAGGGACCAGTCTGTTAAAGATGTATTTTGATATTTAGGACTTATTTATTATCCAATGCTTTAAAAAGAGGGCTTTTTTTTTTTTTTTACTCACTTAGTGGATCGACAGCAAAGGCAGAGTCTGACGGTCCGCTGAACGGTCCAGTTCCTGCAGAATTACTGGCAGCAACCCTGAATTCGTACTCAGTTCCTTCGATCAGACGAGTCGCCTGGGAAAAACAGAAAGATGAGTGGATTCAACAGACCTCTGTGGCTAGGAGGTCTATTCAAAGGACTGTGACAGACCATCCTGAAGGTCTGTGAAGGATCCTCCTAATGGTCTATGACAGACCGTCCTGAAGGTCTGTGAAGGATCCTCCTAATGGTCTATGACAGACCGTCCTAAAGGTCTGTGAAGGATCCTCCTAAAGGCCTTTGACAGACAATTTTTTAAGGTCTATAATGGAATTTTTTAAAGGTTTGTGATGGACCTTTCCAAAATGTCTGACAAAGGACCATCCTAAAAGTTTTTGTTGGATTCTAAAGGTCTGTAACAGACCTTTTTAAAGGTTTGCAATGGACTTCTATACAGGGGCCCAGAGGGCCTACACAAAGGCCTGGACGAACAATCCTAAAGCTGTAAGTAAGATCTTAAAAAGGACTCTGACAGACCATTTTAATTTCCTGTAAAAGTTCTTCTTAAATCTCATGATAGACCTTCCTAAAAATCAGTTACAAGGTCCACAAATCTGTGTGGGTTTAACCTGCAGTTCTATTTTGGTATGTAGCGGGTAGACAAAAGTTAAGTTAAAATGCAGATCCTACACCAGTGTAGAGCTGCAAACACTGAGGCAATAATCTACATTCAACAATAAAAAACCCCAGCTGCTCACCTGGTACTCCCAGCCTTTCATACCCCTCTTGGTGACTGGCGTCTTGTTGACTTTGGCCCAGTAGTCAGTGCCTTTCTCCCTCTTCTCCAGCCAGTAGCAGATAATCATAGAGCCACCGTTGTCTCTGGGAGGCTCCCAGGTCAGGGTCATGGAGGTCTTGGAGTACTCTGCGATGGTTGGTTTCTCCGGTGGGCCAGGAAGGCCGAATGGGTCGATGATCAAGACTTCCTCGGTTGCGCAAGGGTCAGATTTACCATAGCGATTCTCGGCTTTGACCCGGAACAGGTAGGACTTGTTGGTCTCCAGGTTCCACACCTGCAGGAGAGGAAGTTGGTGTTCCCATTAGAGTAAAATCCTGTGACAACCCCGTTATTGTTATTACTGAACATCAGCTCCATCACCAAGAACGCTCAGCAGAGGATGTACTTCCTGAGGAGCCGACCCCTCTCACCCTGGACAGAAACTGTTCGAGCCCCTTCCATCTGGCAGGAGGCTGAGGTCCATCAGGACCAAGACCTCACGCCACATGAACAGTTTCTTCCCATCCGCAGTCAGGCTCATCAACAAAGACCAGGACCCCCACTGACTCTGTCATCCCCAGGACAATTTCCTACCGGTCACTCCCCTGCACATCCCTGTTTCTTTATTTAAATACACTAGACACTTTTAACATTTCACTTGTTTACAGTCCTGTTATCTGTTTGTTGTGCACTTTATTTTATATTCTATTTATATTCAGATTATTGTTGATTGGTTGAATGGTGTTGTTTAATGTTATTGTTCAATGTTAAATGTTATGCACCACACGCCATGACAAATTCCTTGTAGGTGCAAACTTCCTTGGCAATAAACGGTTCTGATTCTGATTAGGACATACCCCGTATTTTTTCTCGACGATGCTGTTGTTAACCACCTCCCACTGGGGCTCAGGTGGAGCTTCCTGTCCCTCTTCCAGCTCCGGTTCCTCTTTCACCACATCCATCTTCTCAACAATGTAGTTGGTCAGCTCGCTGCCACCATTATCCAGCGGCGCGTCCCAGCGAAGGTAGCAAGACTGCCCCCTGATGTTGGACACCGACACATTCCTGGGTGGAAGTGGTCGGTCTGAGAGGAGGACAAGATAAGGTTAGTACTTAACAAACACATTGTGTCTTTTCTGCCTCTGATTGAGTCGCTGACATGTTTCAACTCACCCAGCACCATGACAGAGATGGTGTGCTTTGCCGAACCCATGTTGTTGGAGGCGGACACGGTGAAGCTGCCTTGGTCCCTCCTGTTGGCTGCTGGGATGGTCAGAGTGGTCTTTGCGTTCATCCTTCCGGTCACCTCCGTCTCCAACAGCAGAGTCTCGGTGGGTTTCTCGATCACCACGTCGTCCTTGGACCACTCGATCTTTGGGATGGGGAGACCCAGGATGTCAGCGGGCATCTCAATGGGCTCACCCTTCTTCACAGTAATGCAGTCGCCCTTGAAGTGCTTCAGCATGTGGACCTCAGGAGACACTGAGAAGGACCAAAACAAATAACCATTAGCATCCCTAATGGTTTGATCCTATTTTCTTTTAATACATCTCAAGAAAAATCTGCCTTGATCACCTTTTTAGGATATAAAAGTGCAGATTTTAAGTCAATTCCAAACATTCAACCTCACCTTCGTCATCTTGTATGACCACAATCAACGGGATGGACGGCTCACTCTCTCCGATTAGGTTGGCACACTTGATCCTGAATTCATACATCCAGTCCTCTTCCAGACCCTCCACAGTCATGGTCATGTTGGGGCAGATCTCTGTGTTGCATGGCTCGAAGGCCTGCTGGTCCTGCCTTTTCTTCTCAACAAAGTAGCCGATGAGGGGGCTGCCGCCATCGTTACGAGGAGGCTTCCAGGTCAGTGTGATGGAGTTCTTGGTGCGCTCGGTGTAGTGGAACTTCTCTGGGTATGACGGTGGACCTGCAGGACCAACAAAGCAATGATTAGTTTTAAGTACAAATCCACTGTTCAACCAAGACAGCTGAAGTCTCGGTCTGCTCACTAAAGAGACATTTAGGGATTCATTTCTCAATCAAAATTAAGTGATTTTAGGACTCACCCTGTGGGTCAACAGCCTTGATGAGTCCCAGCTCTACTGGTGGGCCCATTCCGTACTTGTTCTTGGCGATGACGCGGAACAAGTATTCCTGACCCTCCATGATGCCCACGCATTCACACTTGGACGAGGTGGTTTCAACGGGCTGCCTCCACGTGTGCATCTTGGCGTCTCTTCGCTCCACTATGAAGCCGGTCAGGTCGCTGCCTCCATCATCATCCGGGTCATCCCAGTTCAGGAAGATCATCTTGCGAGTGACCACAACGGGCTTCAGGTCCGTGACGGGTCCGGGGACATCTGAGGATACAACAATAGTAACCATCTCAGTCCATTTTCATTTCACAGCAACAATTAATTGCAAGTTAACTGTTAGGTTTTATCATCAAGTCCTGCCCTGGTCCTTCCTGGACCGTCACTCACCCATGACGTCCACTCTGGCCGAAGCACCCTTGATGCCGCTAGGGTTGCAAACAGAGATATGGTATTTGCCGCAGTCCTTCCTCTGAATGTTCTTGATTGAAACAATGCTATCGTTTCCCTCAGTGAGGATCTCCACGCGGTCTTTGTCAGGTTTGGTGTCGTCCTTGGTCCAGGTGATGGACGGGTAGGGTTTACCCGTGACTGTAGCAGGTAAACGGAGGTGCTCTCCGGCTCTGATGACCACGCCGTTCTTGACAGACAGGTCCATTTCAATCAGCGGCTTCTCTGTGGAGGGAAAGCAAGGAAAGAACAAAACAAGAATATGATATTTACATCATCACTGAATGAGACAACAATTGACCGAATTAAATCCCAGTTGCAGTCGCTGTACTTTTTGCTCTGTCTTCTTTTTTTTTGGCTCACCTGCAGGATTCCTGACGAACACAGACTCGGTGAATCCTGGTGTTCCTTCTCCGGCAGCGTTGCAGCCAATGACTCTGACCAGGTACTTGGCTCCCTCACGGACTCCATAGATGGTGAAGGCCCTGGTCTTCCAGGGACGCTCTGTAGACCTGGACCAGTCCTTGGTACCGGCCATGACCTGAAGAACACCACAGAACAGAGACACATTAGTGTGAACTGAAATCAAGATAGTCTAAGGTCTGATTTCACAAATGCCGCTGCACATGCCGCTGCAACGAGGCAGGAAGCTGAAAACAAATATGAGTAAAGTAGACTGGATGATCTGACCTTATCAACGTGGTATCCCAGGATCTCTCCTCCACCGTTGTCCGCTGGTGGGTCCCACTCCACGTCGATGGAGTGGTCGGTAGTCCCCACCACTCTGGGAATTGGAGGTCCAGGAGGTACTACAGTGTCAAAAATAAACCCACAGACTGACTATAATTCCATGTACAAATGTATCCTGTTTATGATTGTTATGATGCTTCAGTTTTTCTGATTAGCTGTTTGGACAAAAGTAAGACCACATGGAGACAACCAATTAGGACAATGCCTATATATTTTCCTCCACTTTGACAGATATTCGTACTGAACACAAGGTTTAGAACAGTTTACATACGGATCGCAGCCTGGGCCGTCTTGGGTTCGGAGGGGCAGCTGAACTTTCCGGGGCCGGCCTGGTTTTCAGCCGCCACCCTAAAGATGTAAGTCATGCCCTCCAGCAGACCTTCAACATTCAGCTCAGTGCTGGAGACGATGTTCCTGAAGACCAGGACAGAAGAGAACATTCAGAAAGCCAGCAGAGAGATTTCGGTATTTCTTCACACATCTTTTTTTGTCACTGTGTTTCCTCACCTGTTCACACGCGCCCAGTGTGAGCTGTTGATCTCGCGGCGCTCCACCCAGTATCCCAAGATGGGGCTACCGTTGTCTTTGGGCTCGTTCCAGGTGACCAGCATGCTGTTAGCCGTAATGTCATCGATCTCTGGCTTTTCAGGAGCCTCGGGAGGTTCTGAGGAGGACGAAGGGACGGCGGAAAAATAAGTAATTGAGACCGATGTTTATTTTTTCATGTGAAATTTTTACTTTTTTGTTTTTGCCATGTAACAAATATTCTTTGGACTTTTAACACGAGAAAAAAATATTACTACTGTTTGCATAACTTTAATTTCATTGAGTGATTATTTCAATTATTTATATAACTTGTGTTCAGAAAACATCAAACTATAGATCTTAAGTCTCTGAATTATCAAAAGTGTAAAGGTTTGTAGGGAGTGATTGTTTTTAACAAACACCGTCAGCCAAGAAACAGAAGTATAACTAATTTAAAACATTTGTATTTAAGTATATATGGAAAATTGCTTATATCTGATAATATAGTTTGTTAAAAAGTAAATATTTACAACTTAAGAACTATTCAAAACGAGAATCCAAAGTAAATCACAAATGTATACAAAGACAGTGGCCCAAAAGGTCATCTGAGTTGACTTTTTATAAATATCTTTGAATTATTATTTAAAATAGCTCATAGCATGAACAGGAATAATAATAAATACCGAAAGGATTCTTGGCGATGAGAGGTTTGGAGACGCAGTGTGGACCGGCGCCAAACTTGTTCTCGGCCACGACCCTGAAGATGTACTCCTTCTTCTCGATGAGTTTGGGCACCAGGTAGCGGCATCCTCTCAGCGTGGAGGTGACGCAGCTCCAGCCGATCTCCAGCTTGGAGTTGTCCTTCTTCTCTAGAGTGTAGTTGAGGATCTCGCTGCCGCCGTCGTCCAGAGGAGGACTCCACTTGCAAATCACAGAGTTTTTCCTCACCTCCTCGAACATGAAGTTCACCGGAGGCCCGGGAGTATCTGTGGACGGACGAAACCATGTTTTTATTCATGGAATGTCTAAAACATAAAACAGTAATTTACCAACAAAGATTAAAGATAATTCTCACCGAGCACATTGACCTCGCAGGTTGCCGAGGCGATGCCGTGGTCGTTCTCCACCTTCACCATGTAGACGCCGTGGTCGAAGCGGTGCGAGTCCCTGATGGCGATGGAGGACACGCCCCTGTTGCGGTTGTCGATGGCCAGACGTTCGTTTATCGTTGGGTAGTCGGTCTCCTCCACCTCCAGCTCTGCTGGCTCCTCCTCCTTCTTCTCCTCTCCTTCCTTCTTCTCTTCTCCTTCCTTCTTCTCTTCTCCTTCCTTCTTCACCTCTCCTTCCTTCACCTCTCCTTCCTTTACCTCTTTTTTAACCTCCTCCTTCTTCTCCACCTTCTTCTTCAGGGGTTTCTCGGGTCTCTTGCGGAGCGCCTCGGTCCGGATCACCTGGTTGTTCCAGTACCAGGTGATCTGAGGGTACGGCGAGCCGGAGATGTTGGCGTCCAGACAGATCTCGCAGCCTCGCTTCACGCTGAGACCGGACTGCAGACTGCCGCTCAGGAAGACCTTCGGAGGATCTGAGCCAGAATAGAAAATTACAAATTAACCAAAAAAAAGATGTAAAACTGATCTGAGCTCGTCAGAAGATGCTGGCGTCCTTACTGATGGCGTCCGAGATCTTGACGAACGGCGTGACGCGAGACGGCTCGCTGACCCCGGCTGCGTTTTCGGCTTTGACTCTGAAGGAGTAGCTCTTGCCCTCTGTCAGCCTTCTGACGGTGTAGGACAGGACGGGCACCAGGAAGTCGTTGCACCTCTCCCACTTCTCCTCGCCCTTCTGCTGCTTCTCCAGGACGTAACCCATGATCTTGGCGCCGCCGTCGTACATGGGAGGCTTCCAGGTCAGGGTGACGGTGCTGGATGTGGGGTTGTGGGTCTCCACGTCCACCGGCGGGTCGGGAATGTCTGGGACGAGAGACAAGACTTCAGTTACATTTCTCTTGGACACAGAGAGGTTTTACTAGATTCATCATCAGATTGGCGGAGTGGCCCTTCGATACATCTCATTTCTCTCTTACGTTTCTGGTCCTCGGCGATGACCGGGTTACGGAGCTCGATGAACTCTCCTCCTCCGATCTTGTTGACGGCCTGGACTCTGAAGTAGTACTCTCCGTTGGGGATGAGATCTTTGACGTTCCAGCTCACCTTGTTCTCTCCGGACATCATGTTGACGTACGTCCTCCTGCCGGCCTCACGCCGCTGCACAAACAAAAGAAACATCAGTGTAAGTCTTTCAGGCCCTGGTGTCCGTATTTTAAATACACCATCGCAGCTCAGGAATAAATGAAAAAAAATTCCGTCTCGGACCTGCAGGACGTAGTGGATGACTGGACTGCCGCCGTCATAGTCTGGGGGATCCCAGGACACTTTACAGGAGCTCTTTGTGATCTCAGAGGCCAGGATTTCCTTACACGGACCAGGAAGCCCTGAAGACAGAGAGACAAGTTAATCCAGTAATCCTGAGACCGATGTCTACGTGTTCATGAGAAAACAAGACATGTGTGATTGAGTACCGATGACTTTGACGTTGATGGCAGCGCTGACAGCTCCCAGTTTGTTCTCCAGTGTCACTTTGTACTGTCCAGCATCAGCGTGAAGGCAGCTGTCAATCTCCAGGTGACAGGAAGTATACTCCTTCCTGTTGGACACAAACAATCCCGTCAACCACTGCTGCTCACGCTGACAGAAAACTAGACCCCAAACATCCCTTACACAGACATAGGTGCATGATAAGATTAAACGATCAGTCTATTAGTTGATTTGCAAGAATTTAATCGGCAGTGATTTAAAAGTCAATTTCTAAGAAAAGATGCCCAAAACTATCTGGTTTTAGCATCTCCAATATAATAAAGTGAATATATGGGACAAAACATTTGAAGGCGTCACTTTGGATTCTGGGAAACTGTGATGGACATTATTAACTATTTCAAACACTTTATAAACCAGAATATTCTGTAGATTAGTTGCTTATTAAAATCTGAAAGCAAAGTGAACGTCACACTCACCTGAAGCTGAGGCGTTCGTCGGCCTTCATTTCCTTGCCGTCTTTGTGCCAGGTGATCCTGGGCGACGGTACGGCTCTGAAGGGAACCGGGATGTGCAGCTTCTCTGTTTCCACAACAACAAGGTCCAGAGTCTGGAAGTCCAGCGTCGGGTTACCTGGAAACAAAAACATACTTCTTTGTTAATTCGACGATTTACCGAAACCTCTGCGGAGGAAACGTGACATGTTAAAAGCCCAGCGGATGCTCTTACAGTCGGACTCTTTGGCAAAGACGTTCTCGGAAATGTCGGAGGGCTCGCTGACTCCCACAGAGTTGATGGCCCTCACTCTCAGGATGTACTCCTTCTCGGGGGCCACGCCTTCCTCCACGCGGTACTTCAGCTCCTTCACCGGACGGGAGTTGACCCTCATCCACTTCTCTGTCCCGGCCACGCACATCTCAATGTGGTAGCCGGTGATGTTGCAGCCGCCATCCCTCTGTGGCGGCTTCCAGGCGATGGACAGGAAGTCCCGGCTGGCTCCGGTCACGTGCAGCTCGACGGGCGGCGATGGGACGCCTGGAAGGGGACAAGACGTGAAGATTCAAGACTCTTTTTCCATGACATTTTCTGAAGGAGCCATTACTCATTACTGGACTAACCTGTTGGATCCTCGATAGTGAGGATCTCGGTGGGTTCGCTCGGGTGGCCGACGCCGGCTTCATTCTCGGCGCTAACCTGGAACTGAACCTCAGTCCCCTCGATGACGTCTGTCACTCGGTACTTACAGTCCGGACCCGAAGTCTTCCCACATTTCACCCAGCGAGTTCCAAGCTTCTCCATCTTCTCGATGGAATACCTGGAGGGCGGAGTCACCGAAAGGTCAACACACGTTTTTACTGTAACCGCAGGAGCATGCATATGTAAAGTGGTACAAAACATACTTGGACATGATGTCTTAAAGAGCTATATGGTACTTTATATCTGGCATTTCTCTGATATTTGGCTAAAATACATACAAACATCTTCAGACTACGAGAATCGCAACTAGGAGATAAGTTGGAAAAATGAATTAAACAAGACTAAAAAACAGCGACATCAGTACGAAGCATTTTTAATAAACTTTAAATCTCCTACCAATAAATATAAAGACGAACGATAGAAAAACCTACTTGAGCACGGGTCTGCCACCGTCGTTTTTAGGCTCCTCCCACTGCAGGTCCACATATCTCTTGGTCACAGCGTTGACAGTGAGGGCGTACGGTGGCCCAGGAGAAGCTGTAACAAAAGCAACATCTTATTATCTTTGCCCTCCTGATTAAAAGACTTGATCTCCATGACTTAAACTGCTCTCTAACTTACAGAAAGTGTCTTTGGCCAGCACAGAGTCCTCCAGCTCGCAGAACGGTCCAACGCCAACGGCGTTCTCGGCAGCAACGCGGAAGACGTAGAGTGATCCTTCGTTGAGCGGCGTCACGGTGTACTTCAGCTCCTTGACCGTGGTGTCGACAGCCTGCCAGCCTTTACGCCTGGCATCGCGCTTCTCCACCACGTAGTTAGTGATGGGCGAGCCTCCGTCACGCTCGGGCAGTGTCCACTTCAAGTCGGCGCTGTTCCTGCTGATGTTGACGACATTCAGCCAGCGAGGAGCCGTCGGAGGGTCTGAGGAGATGGAGACAAAAGATTCTTTAATGTCGGCTCTCAAGAGATTTACATGATGTATCTGTTCTAGAGCGTCATTCTATTCTTACTGAGTCTCTCTTTGCAGAGCACCGGGTCGCTGGGCTCGCTGGGTTCGCTCTCTCCGGCCACGTTGACGGCCCGCACCCTGAACGAGTACTCCTGCTTCTCCATTAGGCCCTTCAGGAAGTGCTCCAGGATGTTGATGTTCTCCGCCACGCGGATCCAGTCCGAGGTACCGCTCTTCAGCATCTCGATGACGTAGCCGTCGATCTTTGCTCCGCCGTCGTGCTCCGGTTTGGTCCACATCAGGAAGCAGGAACTCTTGTGCACGTCCTTCACCGTGGGTTTACCGGGAGGCCATGGAGGATCTGGAGGAGTTACAACATGATGGTTTTAAATGCTTGGAAGCGATTTAGAGACTCAAACACAACTAAAGTGGTGAAGGTAAATGTTGTACCAATGGGATCTTTGATGAGGATTTGGTCTGTCTCCTTGCTGGGTTTTCCAGTTCCAGCAAGATTCTCAGCCAGGACTCTGAACTTGTACTTCTTCCTGGTGGGAAGACCTTTGACTCTGCAGAGGAAAAACACGTCACATCAGCACACTGGAATACAACAAGGGAGCAAAAACTCATTTGAGAAAGCAGGTAGACTCACCTGTAGTTGGTGTCTTTGATGGGCAGCTTGTTGCATCTGATCCACTTGTTGTGGTCAGGTTCATATCTCTCCACCCAGTATCCGGTGATGGGGCTTCCTCCGTCCTCATCAGGCTCGTACCAGGCCAGGGTCACAGAGTCCTTGGTGATGTCCGAAGCCTCCAGCTTGTAAGGAGCTCCAGGAGTGTCTGAGGACAATAAGAGACGGGTGAGGTTAGTCCCAGGTGACCTTGAGGTGCACTGGTCCAAAAATATTATACCTGACCAACAAAGGACCATTCCACCTGAACCTAAGATGTGCTGAGCCATGAAAGAAAAAGCTAATTGGACCAAAGCCTAGTAGACAAAGAAAAAGTACAACTTAATATGCTAAACCTCAGTTCTATGACCTACCGAAGGGGTATCTGGCGATGATGGGTAGGTGCTCAGCTGGTGGGCCAACACCAAACTGGTTCTCAGCGAAGACTCTGAAGATGTACTCCTTGAACTTAACCAGGCCCACAGCTTTGTAGGTGGTCAGTTTAATGGTGGAGGACAGCCGGTGCCAGATCTCGCTCTCGGCAGCTCGGCGCTCAACGATGTAGTTCGTGACTCTGGAGCCGCCGTCGTCACGCGGAGGGTTCCAGGCCAGGAAACAGGTCTCGTTGGTTATCTCAGAGATGTCGAAGGCAGCCGGAGGACCGGGTTTATCTGTGTGAGGAAAGTTTCATTTAATCCACCAGAAGCTAACAAAGAACTCTTCTGATTCCTTTTCTCCGTTGTCTACTGGTCTTACCGAGGATGTTGACGTCGACGGTGGCAGTGGCGCGGCCGCTGCTGTTGGTGGCCTCTATGATGTAGGTGGAGCTGTCGTCTCTCTGGGTCTTGGTGATGGTGATGGTGGAGTGTCCCGGCTTGCTGTCGATGGACACCCTGTCTTCTGGTTTAAGGACCAGGTCGGCCTTGGTCCATTTCACTCGGGGCTCGGGTTTACCCGTCACCTCGGCAGGGAGCTCGATCTTGCTGCCAGCCTTGGCGGTCAGACCGGCCAGGAGCTTGGCGTCCAGCTGGATCTCTGGAGGCTCTGCATGGACGGTTAAGACAAGGGGTCAGTCGGAAGTTTGCAGTTTAGAGGATGACCAACAGGAGGATTGGGGAAAATGTAACAATTGTAACAACAACTCTTATTACTACAAAAACATGAATGCAGTATCTTTCCACAACACCAGTGTGTATTTCCCAGCATGCCACTTTGTGAAGTCAACAGTGTGTGCACAGAACCCCCCCTCGTGAAGTTTTGTTTCATTATCTTGTTCTTAATTCTGCTTGGAGCCATGAATCTGCGTAAATTTGAGGAATTCTGTGCCAGTTTTGTGTTTCTACGGAGCTCCTAAACTGAATAGTAATGTAGAGTATATTTTGAAAAGCATCCTTCAGATGAGGCTTTGATTACACTTTAATGATCAGGATTAATTGTACATTTTGTGGAGCAAAGTGAAAAGCTCTGGGTACCTTTGGGATCAACGGCCTGGATCTCGTCGGTGGCCTTGCAGGGCCGACCGGCTCCGAGTCGGTTCAGGGCTCGGACTCTGTAGGCGTACCACTGGCCCTCGATCAGACCCGTCACCTGGCACTTCAGCTCCGGCACTATGTCCCCGCAGGGCTCCCACTTGTCGGTTCCTCTCTGGCAGCGCTCCACGTTGTAGCCGCGGATGCCGGTGCCGCCGTCGTACCTCGGCGGCTCCCAGGTCAGGAAGATGCCGCTGGCCGACTTGTCTCTCCACCTCAGGTTCTCCGGAGGGTCGGGGATGGCTGGAGGGAAACAAGACGGAAGCGTAAGAAAACCTCTTATAACACTTTTTCAGACAATTTAAGACTATTTATATTTCTAAACTTGAGACAATTTCATCTCTAGGTCTGACTCACTGGCAGGAGAGGAGACGTTGACGGGCTCGTCGATGTACGCCGGCTCTCCGGGACCACACTTGTTGCAGGCCGTGACTCTGAACAGATACTCCTTTCCTTCAACCACATCGGTGACTGTGTACTCCTGATCCTGGATACCTGTGGTCACCTGTAAGAGAGGACAGAGAGGTAGAGATTAAAATCATCGTCAGACACCTAGTTAAAGAGTTCCTACTCCATACTGTCTGATCTTAAAGTCGTACCTTGACCCAGGTCTTGCGAGACACGTCCCGTTTCTCCACCTGGTAGCCGGTCAGAGGACTTCCTCCGTCGTGCTCTGGAGCCTCCCAGCTCAGGTGAACGTGCTGCCGGGTCACTTCCAGGACCTTGAAGTCCTTCGGAGCGCTGGGCGCCGCTGGAGGAGACAAACAGATATAAAATTATACAAAAATGTAAAAGAAAAATAGAAGCAGATTTTTGCTGTTAGCACTGAAATGAAATTAGATTTGTAATGGCATACCGATGACGTTGACTTCGATGTCTCCGGAGACGGACGTGACGTCGTTCTCCAGCTGCAGGGTGTAGGTGCCTTTGTCTGGGCGGACGCTCGGTGTCACAATCAGCTCCACGAACATGGACTTGGTGGTCAGGCTGACGCGTTCGTCCGCAGTGGTCAGCTCCTTCTCTCCGAAGGTCCACTTGGCGACGGGGGTCGGGTATCCGGTGATGGGGACTCTGATGGTGAGAGACTGAGGGACGATCACCTCCAGACCGTCTTTGAAAGCACTCAGGTCGAAGGAAGGACCGACTGGAGAGGAAAGAGAGAGGCATGATGGGAACAGAAACGTTTAAATGTGCTTTTTCTATCAATTTATGATGTTTGACACATTCAACCTGTGTTTTATTATTCATATTTAAGAATCCACTTCCTTCCTCCTTCACTGCCTATTAGACAGTGAAGTCCTTTACTGTAAAGCAACTGCAGTAGTTGTACTATGAAGAAGCTGTAGATTTCACTGTAAAGCAGTAGCTTGAGGACTTTTTACTGTGAAGCAAGTAGCTGCCAGAAGGCTTTTATTATGACATAGCTGCCAGAAGGCTTTTATTATGACGTAGCTGCCAGAAGGCTTTTATTATGAAGTAGCTGCCAGAAGGCTTTTATTATGAAGTAGCTGCACTTTGGCACCATTCTAGACATTTCCTTTAGAAGGTTACTTCACAACAGTGCGATATTACTGCTACAGAAATAACAACATAAAGTAATGAATCATTTAAAAACATCAAAGATATTTGTTTGTCTCACCATGTGTGTCGTCGGCCAGCAGTGGTCCGATGACGTTTGACGGGTCAGAGACTCCGGCGGCGTTTTCAGCAAACACTTTGTAGTTGTACTTGGTTCCATATTTCAGACCTGACACCTGAAGTAAAAAAGGAAAAAGGTACATTGTTAAGATAAAATCAAGTAAAACTCAGACCCTGATGGTTTTTTGACGTAAAGCAGCTGCTATACGACTTTTACTGTGAAGCATTGGATGGCGAACAAACACAAAAGCAGGATCTATTTGAATGTGTACCTTGTAGAAGAGGTCGGGGCAGAGGCGAACGTTGCAGCGGAGCCACTTGTCGGTGCCTTCCTCGCAGCGTTGGATGATGTATCCGGTGATCATGCTGCCTCCGTTACTCAGAGGAGTCTCCCAGCTGAGCTGCACTGAGCTCTTGTTCTGGTCCTGATAGACCAGGTTCTGAGGGGGACTGGGACACTCTGCAGGGGGCGGAGACAAAAAGAAACAGATATTACTGGGGGGCAGTCCAGGTTTTGTTTCTTACTGGACCACAAAGTGTGATGAATCCAGACTTACCGATGGGATCCATGATCTTGACAGGCCGCGAGGCGGCACTTGGCTTTCCTTCACCGGCCTTGTTCTGAGCTTTGACTCTAAAGATGTACTCTTTGTTCTCGATGACGTCGTTAACAACGACGCTCAGATCCTCGGCCTTGGTCACCTGGACGGGGGTCCACTTCACGGAAGTCCTGTCCCTGAGCTCGATGACGTAAGAGGTGATGGGGGATCCTCCGTCGGACTCGGGAGGCTCCCAGGAGACGGTGCAGCCGAACTTGCTGACGTTTCCAACGATCACGTTCAGAGGAGCCTCGGGAACATCTGAAAACGACCATGAACAGAAGACAGTTCAGTAAACTGAACGGAGGGAACAAAGATTCATTGTGCCAATGCCAACGAAAACTCAAGTAGTTCTCACCAAACTTGTTCCTGGCCTGTACGGGTTTGTCGGTCTCTACGTTGGGCCCGCTGCCAACCCGATTTCTGGCGCAGACTCTGAACAGGTACATGGGGTCCCTCTGGAGGCCGGTCACTGTGTACTCGGGACTCTCGGCGTGGTCAGTGGCCAGTGTCCAGGTCTTCCGCTTCACATCGCGTCTCTCCACCACGTAGCCAGTGACCTTGGTGCCGCCGTCACTCTCGGGCTCCTCCCACACCAGGCTGACCTCGCCGTCGGCGGTGTCGACCACCTGCAGGTTCTTCACGGGTCCAGGTACATCTAGAAAGAAAACACAAAGGATGAAGTTAAGAAGTGACGTTGCCTGAGGCCAAACACGACCACAGTTTCAGCTTCAGAGAACTCACCGATGACCTGCAGGTTGATGAAGGCTTCTCCCTGTCCGTGTCTGTTCTTGATGATGATCTTGTAGCGGCCCTCGTCGGACTTCATGGGGTCCTTCAGTCGGTACTCCGTGCAGTCGGCGGATGTGTAGATGTTGTCTCTGGGCAGACTCAGGTTGTCATACAGCCAGTCGGCCTCGGCCTGCGGGTAGGCGCTGTAGGGGACGGCCATGTCGATGGGCTTCCTGGCGTCGGTGACGTAGCTCTGGTCTGTGGTCTTGATCTGAGGCACAGCTGGAGGAGGATGAGGGAGCAAAGGGATAGCCGTCAGAGAGACAACCACTAGTGTACAGATCCGCCCTCACGGTTCATGGGTAACCGCAGATTAATTACACAGTTTAATCATCACAGTGTGAAATAAAGTTTACTGACGATCGTTATCAGCATTTATGCTTTCTATTTTGTGAACAACAATCTGTGTTTGAACTGACAAGAGGAGAGCTAATAACGTTCGCATCACCGCTAACAGCTAAAAAACTTTAACTAAAATCCTGAATCCTTGTAGACCAGCTGCTATAACAAAATAAAAATGATCTGTATCTGCCAATATGGATCACCAAATGATCGCCAATTTGGTATCGGTCGAGGATCTCTAAAAGTTATATTTGCTCCCTTTTTTATTTTGTGCCGATACGATTCGAACCGCAAGTTTTATGATCCGTTGCTCCCTTAACAACAGCAGCAACACTGGAAACTGAGATACTTAGGACTCCTGTTTTCATTCTTCACTAATTAAAGTTTAGCAGTTCAATGTTAGGCTTTTCACACGTTCATTCGTCAGCCTCGAGACTTCGTCCCGAGTCTGATCCATAGCTACTTAAAGACTTGTGCATTGATCAACCCGCAAATTAGGCCTTAAGTCAGGATTCATTATTTAGAGTCAGAGTCCATGTAACATCTTCAGATTCTTGGATAACAACTTTTCTGATCACAGCTGCACCACAATGACGGCGTTTCGATGCTCTTACCTGCAAGCTCCAGCTTGGCCTTGGCGTCTTTGTCCTTGACGATGATCCTGTACTCTCCCTGATCTCGAGGTCGGATCTCGCAGACCTGCAGTCTGTGGACTTTCCCCTCGCTCACCATCTGGTATTTGTCTCCCTGGACGACCGTCATGTTGTTCCTCAACCACTTCACCTCCAGGCGGTCCTTGTTGAGCTCCACCTCGAACACGATGTCGGAGCCTGGAGGTTCGAACGCGTCCTGAGGCGGTCTGACGATCTCCACCGGGGTCTCTGCAGGGACGGAAAACAAATTCATTAAGGAAGGTCAACCTTAGAGCAGGAACAGAAGGGGAACTAGTCTATAGTGTAGAATCCAGAAGAACCGTACCGTCAACAAAGAGCCTGGCTCTGGTTCTCTTCTCGTCCACACCACAGGCGTATTCACACTCATCGTCGGGTCTGCACTCCTTGATACGCAAGGTGCAAATCTTTCCATCTTTTTCAAATGTGTATCTGGGAAAATAAACACAAATTTGTGAGCTGCAAACCTTCACAAAGCTCTAAAGGGTTTGAACAAAGTTCGGTCGATCGATAAGAGTTTCTAGAGGACGTACCTCGGTCCTTCTCTGATCTCACGTCCGTTTCTGTACCACTTGGCGTCGGCCTTCTCTTTGGTGAGCTTGCACGTGAACTCTGCGTCGTCAAACTCGGTGATGGTCTGGTCCTTGAGCTGCATGCTGAAGTCTGTGGGCACCTCGCTGATGATCAGCTCGGCGGTGGACTTGTTGTCTCCGGCCACGGCGGTGTACTCGCCCTCGTCCGCCAGCGTGCAGTCCTTGACGGTCAGCGTGTGCTTGTCCTTGTCCACTCGGTAGACGATGCGCTTGCTGAAGGCGATCTCCTCACCGGCCTTCAGCCACTTCAGGGTGGCGTTGGGCCGGTTGACCTTACAGGAGAAGCTGATGGTCTTCTTCTCCTGAGTGTCGATGTCCTCCAGAGGAACCACGATCCTCAAACTCTCCTCTGGAAAACACAAAAGCATCACAACACATGATCGAGGCTTTTCCCTTTGTGGGTGAAACCAAGGAGACTAAAATGTGATTAGTTTGTTATCTTATTAACACAGAAGGTCTTTGAATTAGAAGAAACACTGGAAATGTACTTGTTTACTTTGGTTTACACATCTTCAAACTCTAGCTTGACACTTAAAGGAGAACTCTAATAAACCGGCCATGACTGTAAATCTAATGAATATATAGTCTCTTATTATAAATGTCCAAACGTTATTCTTTTCAATTCCTTACTTTGTGGAAATGAACATCTTTAACCTGAAATCTGCTGAATTGTTCAGTTAACACTTAATACTCAACGATAAAAAGATGCATTTTGGTCCGACGTGGTCACTTCGATTTACTTTTTCAGTTAACAAAATATATTTTAAAAAAACAGAAAGAAATTTGGGTATTGGGAGGTGCTACGAAAAATAATATTGGAGAAACTGACCTGCACTTTACATTATAATATCAAGGTGTTTTTTTTTATTTATGTATTATAAAAATAACAAGTGTTATTAATTGTATAGTAATTTAAAAGGTTAAATTCTGAAAATGAATAAACATTTGCTAGTTATAAGGACTGAAGTTAGTTAAAATATTGAATTAATTGAAAGTGTAAAACAATATTAATATAGACTTTTTAATGTTGAGCTAATTTAAATAGCACACTGACCTTTGACCGTGAGGTCACAGGAGCTCTTGGCCTGCTCTGCTCTCTGATTGGTCAGAACGATGCTGTAGTTGGACTCGTCTCCCTTCTGGGCGTTTTTGATCCTCAGCGAGAAGACGTTGTCCCTCTGGACCATCAAGTACTTGCTGCTCTCGAATATCGTCTCCTCCTTCTTCAGCCACTTGGCCTTCGCTCCCTCTGAGTTCACCTCACAGTTCAGGACCACCTCCTGACCTTCGTTGGCCTCCGTATCCTTCAGCGGCGTGATGACCTTCAGTTTCTCTGCAGGACGGAAACATCAGACACTCTTCAAACCAAAGGTAGTGAAGTCAGGCTCATCAGAGACTCTTCAAACCAAAGGTAGTGAAGCTCATCAGAGACTCTTCAAACCAAAGGTAGTGAAGCTCATCAGAGACTCTTCAAACCAAAGGTAGTGAATTCAAGCTCATCAGACTCTCTTCAAACCAAAGGTAGTGAAGTCAGGCTCATCAGACACTCTTCAAACTAAAGGTAGTGAATTCAAGCTCATCAGACACTCTTCAAACCAAAGGTAGTGAAGTCAGGCTCATCAGAGACTCTTCAAACCAAAGGTAGTGAAGTCAAACTCTGGATATGTGTTTGTAAAAATGTAACTTAAGCTGGAATGTGAAGCATCGTTGAAAATGTTATTTATTGAATTAATTATTATATTAATTATTGAGAAAATGTATTTAATTTCTATATTTAAATGCCTAAGTTGAAATGTAATTCAACGAATTCAACTTGAATTAAAATATAAGATAAAACAAAAACAATTTTGATGTATTTTGTTCTTTGTATAAAGTGAAAGTTGAACTTTTCAAAGTTAAACCTAAAAAATACAAAATACAATAAAATGAATATAAAAAAATAAGTTAAACTACACGGCATAATGTTATGCATGGAAGCCCATGTCTGCCACTAGAACGGAGTTTTGACTTTCTAACTCCAAATAATGAGACAGGAAGTTGAAATTCTGATTTACTGTGTTGTAATTTTGACTTTAAAAAGTCCTAAAATGTCTAAATCTCCATTTTGTTTCTCACACTTTTGATTTACGTAAGGTTTTTTTTTATTGTTTATAATAATAATTATATATTCCGACCAATACATATATTCTTTTTGTTTTTCTGCCAGGAATGAGCTTCCATATAAATAATCCTTGTTACTACTTACAAAGATTATTTTTCTTGTTTCTATAAATGAAACTAATTTGAAGTGTTGTTGCTCTTCTCAGCTGTTGTTTTTGTTGATAAGATAAAACTTTATTTATTCAGAGGGAAAAGTATAAATAAAGAATAAGAAAATAAAAATGATCATTACGGTGCAAAAACCAAATAAACACAATGCCAGAAATATAAACAGTTATCAGTGAAATTACATTTTTGTGTTGTGTATTTATCTTTAAATCTCTCTGCAAAGACTGAGATTGAGAGGGCGGGGCTTGGTGAGTGGGCGAGGCTTACCGAGCACGGTGAGGTCGGCGCTGGCTCTGGTCAGTCCGATCATCACCACGTATCCGCCCTCGTCTTTGAGCTCGCAGCTCTTGATGACCAGCATCCGTCTCTTCCCGTCGCTCACCGTCTGGTACTTGTCTCCCGCCTCCAGCTCTTTGTCGTCTTTCAGCCACTTCACCTGGTAGGTCTCCTTGGAGATGGAGCAGGTGAACTCCGCCTTCTCACCCTCCACCACTTCCTGGTTCTGAGGCCTGGAGATGAACTCGGCAGCCAGTTCTGAAAACAGACAGGAAGCACCACGAGAGGTCGGAGGTCAGCAGGTTTTTACGCAGACGTTAAACTCCCTACGGAAGCCTTGAGACGCCAATGAGAAGAATAACATCCAGCTGATCCATTTTCTAAGTCTGAGTTTCCATCTTCTGTATATATATATACGTATATATATATGTATATATATACGTATATATATATATACGTATATATATACGTATATATATATGTATATATATATATATGTATATAT